CCAGCATGGCAAACCCTCCTGGGACAGCAATGCTATAGAGATGTACCAGGCCCACTTGCTACAGTTGGGACAAACTCCTTGCATACCTCAGCCACAATAATTTCAGAAAAGTCCCCTTTGAAACAAAGGCATCTACAGGCCTGTTAGGTAGGGTCTGTGACCACAGAGCAACTTGCAAAGCAGAAATTCCCCTCATTCCCCAAACCACTAGAATTGTCAGAAAAAAATGCTGTCATTGCTGCTTTCCATCAGCAACGTGAAGATACACCACCCAGGTATCACTCTTGGCTATCACCCCCACAACCTCAAACATGCAGTGATGCACAGATCCCAGTTGCTTCAGGTAAAAATTCTTCAAGCTACTGCTTCCACTCCTTTTGAAGCTTTTACATAACATGAATTTTTGTGACTCTGAAATGCACAAGTGTTGCAATAACATCTTTGCCTCTACACTCCCCATGGCTGACCACATGATGGCAAGCATGTACAATAAGACCACTGGATATAAGTGTCAGAGGCCTTAGAAATAGTTCACATTCTCTGGCCTTCAATTTCATGATCATTATCATAATAAAATGTTTTTTGCTTATTCCCTGCACACCTGCTGCATGTCAATTTCCCATTACTGCAGCTACACCACCACATGCACTGCTCAGACTGACACAATCACCTTCTTTACACCAAACAGATCCTCAGCACTGCTGGCCCATCACATCAATAGAAAATGAAGTACAAAAAGTACTTTGTAAAGAGAGAGGAATGTAGCCCAGGGATGTAGCTCAGGGTTAGATTAGATGAGAACACAGTTCTGGAACTCACTGTCATTGAGTTTTGGGTCAAAACTCCTAAATATTTCTGAGGTATTTGTTTTCATCTCTTACCGCCAACTCTTCTGGTGAAACATCAGCAGCAAAACCAAGCCAATAGATTTGCTCTTTGAATTTTGAAGTCATAAACCATAATTTTCTGCAGGGAGTGGAGAGGACAGACGGGAGCGTGTAGATACAGGATTATGGCCCTGCTTCTTTGTTACACTCTCCCCAGCTTTCTTAAACTGGAGGGGAGGAAAAGGGAGGAATGCATTTGGATATTCAGTTCCTCTCTCTCAGTTCTTCCTCACTGCTCTCAGTACTTCACTGCCTGTCCCTGGGTACCTTATCACACATATCTCATCAAAAAAAGCCCCTATACCTGCAGTACACAATCTCCTCCAAAATAAATTTGCTTTTAGAAGAATACTATTGCCATTGTGCTTGTACAAAACTAACTCAAAAGGTTAAATATAAACCATATATCTGAAAAAGAGCACATTCTAGTCATATCTTAGAATCACAGTATGACATGGTTTGAAGGGACCTTTAAAGACCATCTATCTCCAACCCCCTGCCTTGGGCAGCGTTGCCACTCACTAGGATCAGGCTGCCCAGGGCCCCCATCTAACCAGGCCTTGAATGCATCCAGGGATGGGGCATCTACAGCTTCTCTGGGCAATTTTTTTTTGTTGTTTTGTTTTAATAAGAAGCTATACTTCAGAATAAGATGAAAATACCGAGTAATTATACTTGCAATATTTCAATCTTAGGTTTTGTGAATTAAGATGACCTAAAAGTTGCAGCAGACTATTAAAATTAAGCAATGGAATTTATCTTGCATATAGAACTGTTGGTAGCAAAAATGATTATTTTGAATTAAATTACAGAATCACAGAATTGTAGGGGCTGGAAGGGACCTCCAGAGATCATCGTGTCCAACCCCCCTGCCAAAGCAGGTTCCCTACACCAGGTCACACAGGTAGGCGTCCAGGCAGGTCTTGAACATCTCCAGAGAAGGAGACTCCACCACCTCCCTGGGCAGCCTGTTCCAGTGCTCCGTCACCTCACTGTAAAGAAGTTCTTGCGCATGTTTGTGCGGAACTTCCTATGCTGCAGTTTCCAGCCGTTTCCCCTTGTCCTGTCTCCACTCACCACTGAAAAGAGTCCGGCCTCGCCATTCTGCCCCCCACACCTCAGATATTTATAGACCTGGATCAGGTCCCCTCTCAGTCTCCTTTTCTCAAGGCTGAACAGACCCAGTTCACTCAGCCTTTCTTCATAGGAGAGATGCTCCAGGCCCTTCACCATCTTCGTGGCCCTCCGCTGGACTCTTTCCAAGAGATCCCTGTCTTTTTTGTACTGGGGAGCCCAGAACTGGACGCAGTACTCCAGATGAGGTCTTACCAGGGCAGAGTAGAGGGGGAGGATCATCTCCTTTGACCTGCTGGCCACGCTCTTTTTAATGCACCCCAGGATGCCATTGGCCTTTTTGGCCACAAGGGCACACTGCTGGCTCATGGCCAACCTGTCATCCACCAGGACACCCAGGTCCCTTTCCGCAGAGCTCCCCTCCAGCAGCTCATCCCCCAACCTGTACTGGTGCATGGAATTATTCCTCCCCAGATGCAAGACTCTACACTTGCTTTTGTTAAACCTCATCCGGTTTTTTTCTGCCCAGCTCTCCAGCCTATCCAGGTCTTGCTGAATGGCAACACAGCCTTCAGGCGTGTCAGCCAATCCTCCCAACTTCGTATCATCAGCAAACTTGCTGAGGGTGGCCATTATCCCCTCATCAAGGTCATTGATGAAGATGTTGAACAAGACCGGACCCAGCACAGACCCCTGAGGAACACCGCTGGTTACAGGCCTCCAACCGGACTCTGCACCACCAACAACGACCCTCTGTGCTCTGCCAGTCAGCCAGTTCTCAACCCACCTCACTGTCCACTCATCTATCCCACACTTCCTCAGCTTTGTTATAAGGATGTCGTGGGGGACAGTATCAAATGCCTTGCTGAAATCAAGGTAGACTACATCCACTACTCTCCCCCTATCCACCCAGCCAGAGACAACATCATAGAAGGCTACCAGGTTGGTCAAGCACGACCTCCCCCTTGTGAACCCGTGCTGACTACTCCTGATAACCTCCTCTTCTTCCAGTTGTCTGGAGATGACATCCAGTACAAGCTGTTCCATCACCTTTCCAGGGACAGAGGTGAGGCTGAAAATTATTCCAGGCCCAGAATTTCCCACAGCCACCTAACATTTTGCTCACACCTTCCAAGAGACCCAAACTCTCCGTCTTTACAGCCAATCCAATGATGTTGGAGAAATGGATGGATCCATGACATCACTTAAACATAAAGGTGTTTGCACAGTCCATTTTTCAGGAGCAACTTACTGATATTTGTCTGAGTCTCTGAAAACTCAGTGTCACTGAAAAAAACATCTCATTTATGCCACTTTTTTCACAACTTAAATCCAGTAATTTAAATTAGCATAGAAAACCAAAATTGTGTGGATAAGATATGAAGCTGACCTATAATTTATTTTTTTAAGACTTTCAAGCAATTTGTTGTATGAAGTCTTTGAAAACAAGACAGAAAATATTGTCTTTCATAAAGTTGAACTTCACTTTCAAACTGAAAAATAAGAAACCTGTAGCTTGCTAACATGAGGTTAGCACATGTCTTTGTGCAAAGAATGCTTTGCACCTACCCAAGTACTGGTTAAAGGAACAACAACAAAGTTTCCTTCAATTTCTGGCTCTTTCATATATGTAATAATTGGATCACTCACACAATATTCTGCATATTCTCAATGAACAGGTGTTCTCAATTCCCACAGTTTTACCAGAAGCTCTTACTTAAGATTCCAGTAGTAGCTGCTATTCGAAAATTCTGTACCTCTTAACTCAGAACAAGCACATTTCTAGACCAAGCTGAGAAACATAGAATAGGAAGACTCAAAAGATTACTTGGAATTTGCTTTTAAATTGCTAAGACAGTCTATTTTAAAAAAGCTATATTCCTTACTCCCAATAAATAGCTCTTGATTGCTAATAAACGTAGTCTAGTTCTGTACTTAAAACCTAATCTCAGAATTAACTTAGGTGTACCAGTTCAATTATGAAATGTCAATTAAAAATTCCAGTTAGCCCTTTCCAACTAGATGTCAAACAATTTAACTGACACATGCACATTTTCTGTATCCCAACCCCAACATGCCATAGTAATCCAAAGAACTACAGCATGGGAAAGTTATTTGAGATCCACAGTAGTAGAAGCGCATAGGCATAGATGTTTCAAATTGTTCATGAAAAGAAAACTTTCTTTTAAAATCCTTTACTAAAACAAACTTATTTCATCCAACAGATAGAACATGAAATTTGTAGTTAAATAAATCACATGTAGAATGATGCTGATTACTGAACATCAGAAGAACGTCAGTAACCCTCATACATCTACTAAACATCAAAAAGTTTGAACCAGATAATGCAGTTGACTGTTAAATAGACAGTTAAGTCACAGGCACATACAAACATCATTTAACAAATGACAGATACTTATAAGAATTCATTGAAGAGAAATTATAACAGAGTGAATTTCCTGCCATAAAATTATTCTAGGATAACAGCTTCAACAAACATGTCTTTGGAGACAGTAGTGAAATTTCTGATGTGTTTACACCCTGTAGCAGAAGTGTGCAAGTTGTTGAGAACAGTAAACACATTACGCCTAGGTCAAAAAACTAACATCTCTGTAACTCAGGACATCTTTTTGATGAATGTGAAACAGCTGGAATAAGTATATCAAGGGTAATAATTGTGCTCCCATGGTAGATCCAGCTGCTGCAAAATGAACTCAGGAAAAAAGTGAAGTAAAAAAAAAACAACAAAAAAAACAACAACCAATAAAAAGAGGCATACACCATATATAGTTTCTGCATATATCTTTTTAGAGTATAGAACAGTGACAACACTGATTGAAAATCACTGTAGCAATGTCATTTGTTAAAAGCAAACCTAGTTCACAAAGCACTTAAAAATCAAGCAGTGATTTTCTCTGTTTTTAAAGTTGCACTTAACACCAACCGTCATCCTCAGCAATTTTTTTTTCAGACACAGAAACATTCATACCTGCTAGTGAGAAAGTTATTTTAAAAATAAATGTTACAGACTCATAATAATCCTGTTAATACTTTATTAGTGTATTTTTTTTTTAATTTTTTATTTTTTACCTTTCTATTGGACAGAACATAAATGCAAACTTCAAAAAAAAAAAAAAAAAGAAAAAAAAAATTCAGAGTCCTCTGCCATCCAGTAGAAGTGACCCTGGCAGTCTGTTTTACGTTCATTCTTTGTTACGGAAACAAAAGGATGGGGAAGGGAAGGAAAAAGCATCAACAGAACAATTAGGCACACAGCTGACACTTACTGTACAATGATATGCACAAGTAATCCATAACGGCTATATTCATGAGATGAGCTCTTTAGATTTTCCCCTTGTAATGTATGAGCTATGCTCCCACGAGCAAGGACCATTAAGAACAAGGGAATTAACGGCGGAGTAACAAATAAGACTTTTAAAACAAGTCCTTAAATAAACTAATCCAATAACAGAATGCAAAATTGTTCAGCTGAAAAGACATTTTTAACCTAGACTTTAAAATGTTAAAAATTCATTTATTTTACAGTTACTCAAATACACATGCATTAAATGAAAATATTGCACAAAATTAAAATTTAGATTGTGGATTTCATATATTTTTATTTTGGTACACATTCTGTAGCACTTAAAATTTACTGTTTAGTTCTAGCAAACACCAGCAGCACAAGCTTGAGGAGGAACCAAATGAAAAACTCAATTGCTCATTTTCACTTAAAAATAATTAAGGCTAAAACAAGTGCATTTGTTGACAATGGCACAATCTTCAATGGCCAGTCACAGCACCCAAAGGCCAGAAGATACACTTAAGTGCTGTATGTTAACATTCAGTTTTGGAGACTTCATAGGACAACAGGCTGCATGGTTGATAGGGCAGGTATTTTGAATTGACAAAAGGAAAATCATTGTAAAGATGGTACAAACTTTTAAACCAAAAGTATTAATTTCTGATCAATCTTGCCAGCCAACAGGCACAACTGAATTAGGGAGCCACATTCTGTAGCTAAATACAGAAGACAAAACTTTAGTATATATATACATATGCACACCCATAAGTGTGTAAGTATATATATATATATATATATATATATATATATGTAATAAATTCCAATAAGTAAAATGACTAATGAACATGGTGTATTATGTTCAGTTCACATTCCTAGAGATATTATTTTTATTTATTTATTTTTTACAGAAATGTACCAGATAATTAAGAAAATCCCAATTTGCACACAATCACCATTCTCTTGAATTTTTTCATGGTACCTGCAGATAGATAAGAGGTTTTTTGACAAAATTTTTTTGACAGATTTGACAAAACAGCATTTAAACTTCCCATTTTCATACTGCAAAACAAATTCAGCGATTTAAAAAGACATAAATTAGGTTTGGTAGTATCAATGATGTAACTACTATATCACCAAGAACAATTGCTGAACGATCTTTCATCAGCTGGATGTCAGGTATGCTAGAGTGTAGACTGACATCAGAGGAAGATAAAGGCATGTAAACAATAGTAGCTGGCTATGCTGACTACTCCACACAGGAACTCAACAATTTTGTTAAATTCAACAGCACTTAATCACACTTCCACAAAATCTGCAGAGAAGAAGGGGGAAGGGTTGTTACATATTTTCCAACTTGTCTTCTTGGTAATTATAAAAGAAAGGGATTTAACTTACAGTATTTAATTCTGCAATAAGGGAAAAAAAAAACAAGTGCACTTGAGCCCATGCATACTGTATGAAAACATTAACAGTACAATATGGTCATCGTTAAATAGTATGATAAAAGGCTACATTGCATGAGTAGAGTCCATAAGAAAAGTGATTTATATAGATGTTTCAGTCAAATTAACTAGGTCTTTTGAGAGCTTTCTATCTTCTCTGACAACGCTTTAATAAAAGGTCTGTGTTCCTCTCCCACATAGAAGGATTTGTTCCCATTTAAACACAAATTGCTGTAAGGATCCTTATTCGACAGTTGTATCATATCCCGTGTTAAGCGTTCTGAAGAAATATGGACTCTGCAAAATTGCTTTCTATTCACTCAGACAGTAGTGCTCATAAACAGTAGGGGACTATGAAAAAGAAAAGACAAACTGAGGTATGCTGTGGCCTGAAAGTATTATTTGTTGTTTTATTATTAATTGGACATAAATTATTTGATGGAACTAAACAGATGGATGTGGGGCCTTGATGTCAAATTTCTATTAAAATTTTACACTATGCAAAAAATAAAAAAATTATTTAAAAAAATATTGTAATTTTATCTCCTTTTTATTTTCATATATACACTAAGATGCGTTCAGGAATTCCCAAATGTTTGCATATGACTAATGAAATATTTTTATCTGTAAGGAACCAACTAATTCTACCTTTTTTTTCCATGAACCTTACACATTCAAAGGTAAAGGAATCTTTCAATTAGGTAGGACACAATCTTTTGCACCCTAAAAAGCTTCAGATTTTAGTGGGGAATAGTGTGAGAATTGTTTCTTAGTGCAGTTTCCTCATCTCCTAATACGATGTCTGTTCTCTTTGAAACATGCACCCCCTTCCTTCTGCAACTATGATCTTGACATATGTTCAAATACACCAATTGAACATAAATATGATGCCCCTTCTTCACTGAAGTTACATGCAAAATGTATGCCAGGTGCCATAAGAGCAGAAGATAGCCCTTAGAGCTACAGAATAGTCAGAATAAAGGTTTTATTTCTACTGCATCTTTACTAAAACCCCCAACAGATCTAATGTTAGTTTATTTTTCAAAACATAAAAGGTGAAGTTTGTGTGGCATAAAAATCACATTTCCTCAACTTTACTTTAATAAATATACTTTTATGATGGGGGTATTAACTGTTTCTCCCCTCCTCTATAAATCTGCTGTTCCAGAGATTGCTTTTCCTGTTAGCTCAGCCTTCACAGGAATGTTAAATAAGCCCTATAGAGCCTCAACAGACATAATGTAGAAAAATTCCACCTGATTCTCACACATTGCACTATCTCCCAGTGCCAAAACGTTCTTTTCCTCCACCGTATCATTCTTTTCCTTCACCGTTACGCTTCACTCAGTCTGGCACTTTTCATTGCTGGCAAACATCGCCTCAGGAACGGAAGGAATCAGCATTCTTATATAGTGGGCCAGTTTTCTTCTCAATGTTGCATGAAGACGCACCAAATCATTTAAGACACACGAACCCTTCTGGTAGTGGTTGAATTACAAGTGAAGATGAGAAGATCCACAGGTCTTACAGATGCATTAATAATCTACTATGTGACACTAAAAGACTGGTGCAGAAATAACAGCATGTGAGTTTGAAGCCCCAGAGAATCTGCCCAAGTAATAAGTCCTGGACAAACATACACCAGCTTAATAGGTTTAAAGTGTCACCTTTTCTGCAAGGAAGGCGCTTGAGTAGAATGTAGTCTCTGTTTATACCTCTGCATCTGCTTTGACCGTGAATGCAGTTTGTTGAAGAGCTCATGGAACTTATTTTGTGGAAACAAGGTTTCTAGAAATCTCTCCAGAAAGACATATACCATTCTCTTATTCAGTTGAGTATGCTGGAACATCTCAAAGACCCGAAGAATACCTTTTCGTGTCGTCTCAGCACCTATGATGTGCTTCAATTCATCTACAAAAATGAAAAGTACATGGAAGGTTAAATTTAATTCTATATCTCAGTTAATAATACATTGAATATTAAGTATGTCAAGCAATTTGCCCAGACTTCCTTTCAGAAATTATGCAGCTTGAAATTTGAAGTAACAGTGCCTCTATTACATATAGCTTGATTAATCTAAACGTTCTCTCAGAGTAGAAACGATCTCTGAAAATTACATCTATTCTACACTGTATATAGAATCACAGAACAGCTTGGGTTTGAAAGCACCTTAAGGATCATCTGTTTCCAACCCTCTGCCATGAACAGGATTGCCCCTCACTTGACCAGGCTGCACAGGGCTGCATCTAAACTAGCCTCAAACTCCTCCAGGGACAGGGTATCCACAGCTTTTCTGGGCAGCCTGTGACAGCACCGTGACATCCTCTGAGAAAATAATTCTCTCCCTACGTCTACGTCTCCCTAACCCTCCTTTTTCTTGAATTTTAAACTGTTCTCCATTGCTATATCACCTTCACACCATATACGAAGTCGATTTGTTTAAAAGCTCTTTTTAAATACTTGAAGGCCACAATGAGGTCCTTCCAGAGCACCCTCTTCTTCCGGGCTGAACAAGTCCAGCTCCTCACTCCTCTGGACTCACTCCAACAGCTCCATATCTTCCTTGTGCAAAGGAGCCCCAGATCTGAATGCAATACTCCAGGTGGGGCCTCATGCTGTACTGGAATATATGAATTTCACGTACTCAAATCCTCTAGTGAAACTAAATACAGGATTGGTTCTAAGAACTAAAGTTGCAAAGGTCACCACACGAGAAAATTTTCAGTGCTTTAATAATTAAAACCATTTTATTTGAATACAGTTCAAAAGTCAGCATTTCTTTTCATTTTTTCAACAAATCAACATTAACTCCAGCACCAACATACAGTAAGGATTATTTAGCTTCAATCTCAAATCCCCTTACCTGGCATTATCTCTAGCAATTTGGTCTTCCCTGCTACTCTTGTTCTCATTCTAATAGCTTTGTCTCTCCGTGGAACGGTCTCTGCTAAAATGCCATTGGGCCAAAAGGCATCTCTGTAACAAAAGCAAATCTGTCAAAATACATTAAAATTTTAATCAAATGGAAGGTTATATTTAATCTCTCCAAATTTTCTCTTAAGATAAATACATGCAAGCAACTTGTACAGAACCTAACACATACTTTAATTATTAGAGAAGGGAAAAGAAAGGGAAAAGTGGAATATTCAGAAGAAAGATCTACGATGCGCTAGATCTATTCACAGTTGCTTCATACTACTTAGAATGGAATCAGTTGAAAGAAAAATTTAAGAATATATTACACAGCAAAACCATTCAAATATCACATTGCATCAGTCTTTACTGTCACTGACAGACTTTGATCTAATTGTTTCAGTGGATCTTTGACAGAGGTAGAACTATTTATAAGATAGAGGTGAGATGAAGACACTTTAGTCTATTGAAATGCCCCATGCAAAACACAAATCTCAGTGTGAAAAGCTGTTTTTCATCAGTGTATGACACATTTGTTTTCTGATTAAGACACATATGTTCTAAACTCATTTTATTAATGAATAATAGAGTATCTCTAAAGTATAATCCTTTGGCTAATAGGTTATTCTACTTTATATCTTTTCCTCCATGCAAATAAAAAACAAAAGTTGTGAGGGGGTGTTTTATTCAACAAATACTTCTGAAGTCATTGAGATTTTTAAAAAACAGAATGATGAAACAGATTTTTCTAAAAGGGGTCTGACAATTTCAAACTCAGAATTCAGTACAATTGTTCGACCTTGTATAGAACATGTACTGGCACGGAGCTAGGATTTTTAATAATAACAACTGTTTGCTTTTTAAGATTGGATGCACACATGCCTTCATCAAGGTAAACACTTCATCCAGTAACACGATGAAATCCAAATACCACAGCTCTTCAGGACCAGTTAAAAAAGTACATGTTAATGAAGAGGAGAAAATTCCAAAATAGTTTTCTTTATGTGACAGATACTTTCTCTCACTTAACACAACTAAAAAGCTGGGCCTGGTCAAACAGGACTCCTGTACTTTAAAAATTTCCTCACACAGAAAGAAGAGGAAGGATGTATATGTATTAGACATCGATTGACAGGTACTCTGCATTTAACATATATCACGAAAGACATACCTGAAGCGTTTCACAGCATCTGCTACTTGTTCAGGAGATGTCATCCAGTCAACATGATCAACTATTTTCCTAAAATCAAAGCAACAAGACTCTTATTTTGTTATTTCAATGAAGGAAAGGAAAAATAAGTAAACCATTTTAAAGAGTATTGTTGTGCAAAGTGCAACTTCAGTTCTTCTCCAATGCTATTAAGTAGGTTCTATAAAATGGCACACTATGAAAACAAAGACTGATTCTCAAGACAAAAATTTGAAGTCCCTTACTGCTCCCTGAGTACTGCTGAAGCTAAAGCATTTTTCCACTTCAGTAAACATATGATGACCAAGCAGGTAGGAAAGATGACATTACATCTCCTTCCAACATGATATAAATGTTGTGCTTGCACAGCTCTCCTATTCATGAAGCACTGTTCAAATTCCGTTTATGTAAGCAAAGAACCTACTTAAAACTTATTGCACTTATTTATGAGGTTACCTGGTAATCTTGAACATAATACTGACTATCATTGTTGACATTATGATGACTTCAAGATAATTCTCATCTGGCCACTAGGAATAATTTCAAAAGAACCCAGTGCTATTCCTATTATAAAGAAGCATCACTACTGATACCACAAGAACCACCTATATTTGAAATACTGATGATGAAAACATTATAAGTATACACATGAAGGTTAAAAAGTACAGTGAGGAAATTTCCGGAAGAGTAATGGCAAGCTACTTCTCACCTGGCAGAAATAAAGTTCCTGATCAACAGCACTATGCCAAATTGACAATTAAGGAACCAATTATAATTACAATTCACCTAATTTGATAGTGCTCATGTATCATTTGTAACACTACAGAGATGAAACCAGAAATTGGGCAGAAAAAAATAGTATTAACAGCAAAAAATACAATGTAAAACATAAGTTAAAAAGCATATACAAAGCCAGTATTAAGTTACATTCATAAAAGCATGAACACTTCTGGCTCTGGGAAAGCAGTTCTCTGACAGTGTACATTTACATCAAATTTGCACTTGGTTTCTCTTCATTCTCTTTAAAGGGGAAAGCATGTATCAATTCAGCAATGTCAGAAAGGATTTCTAGTCAGTCTCCATAATTTCACTCACACAACAACTCTATATAAGAAAAGCAGTACCTATTAATTGTGTCACCATATGTTGCTCTAATAAGCTGTTGAAGAAGATTCTTTATATTTCTTCTTAACCATTGATTTCTTTCCTTTAAATCAAAGACTTCATCCATTAGGAGGAGCATTACTCGAAGAGGAATATTGTCATCCACCTGATCAAGTAGTAAAGATAGAATCAGTAAACATATTTCAGTTCACAACAGGCACAATTCACAGGCCAAATGCTTCTGTATAAACACAACAGGGTCAGAACTCTTTGATCTATTATTTATTATAATATGAAATCTTCCATAAATCTATAACAGCATAAAAATTGAAAAATAAGGATAAAATAGTCTTACACTTTTTTTTTTTTTTTTTTAACATAAGAAAAAAGGAATTGTTACTGTACTCAAGTGGAACAAACAATACAAGTATGCATGAACCGGAGAGAACTTGTCCCTTTGCTTTTTCTTAGTAGACAAATTCAGAATCACTGAAAAGTATTAAATTTGAGGAAGAGTTTACTAAATTCTAGTAAGAGTATTCATTTTTCATCTTTTTTTTATCCCCTATAGACATAACATCAGCTTCTCATGGCCTTCTTTTTGGTATATGCCAAAATTTAAGCCAATACATTGTTAAACTATTGCATAAAAGATGGAGTTATTTGGAGTTACAGTTGTATTACACAAGAGAACACAGTTATTTACCACAAATGCAACAAATGCATTTTTTGACTGAGTTGTTGCTTAAATATTAAATTCATTATTAATACTTCATAGAACAGCAAGCCAAAATTATCTTAGAAGCTAACAGAAATTGTAGCTTCTATACAATTTACAGAAGATCAATGAAATTTTTGCAAAGAAGCTGCTCATATATTTGGACTATATAATTTAGTATTGCCTGTGCAAAAATATCAGCCTCAAGAGTGATGGAAGGTATATGTTTGTAATTACAAATTTACAGATACAGTCTGATAGAATGAAAAACAATGAAGGAAAAGGAAAACCCAGAGGGGTTCAAGTTTGTTATTTGAGTAAAAATACATCTACCAAGACATCACTGCAATTATGCACAAGAAGACAAACAGGAATGCTTTGATGTGTTCTAAATCCTAAAATGTGAAAGGCGAAACAGGTGCAGACTTATGACCGTGGTAAACTGCATATAATCACTGATAATCTCACGGCATTTCTGTCCTACTTAAGCATGAAAGTTGTTTCTTTCTTTTTGTTGTTTTTTTTGTTTTGTTTTGTTTTATTTCCATGTACATGATCAATGTTTCAACTAAAATAACATCAAAATACCATACATCATGACAATTTCAACTTCACTGTCAAGTTTCTTAATATTACTACTTCATTTATTTTTGGTATCCACATAGTGAAAGTTTATTACTCAGGACTATATGAACTTTTTTTCTTTGTCTAAAAGAAATGTGCTAAACACTACTTATGATCCATTAGATGAAGGCCTCCTGAAATGTTCTCAGAAATCAGTTGTAACTGAAATTATGCTGACAGTCTGGTATCACATTTTCTTTGAATAGAAAGAAATAGAAGATTGAAAAAAAAACTTCAATCAAATCGTAAAAAAGTAAATATCCCAAACACCAAAATATTATCATGTGAACTTTAATGCACTACCTGGCCATCTTTGTACTACAGAAGAAGTTAATTTTAGAAGGAAACATCATTTTTTTTAAAAGAAATTTAAGCGCCTTAAACACCTGCTTCTAAGTGCCTCGTTTATTTATCAGTGTCAGACTCACACTGTCATCAATTGTTGCTGCAACACGGCAATGGTCAGGATCTGAATAGGTTTTCTGGATCAAAGGAGGCACCTGCAATTCAAGGAAAGGTAAGCTTTATGAAGGACAATACTGTAGAACTCCAATAAATTAGATTCATTTTCATACCCAAGGTGATTATGAAAACAGAAACTAAACATTTGGTCAAAAGTCAGTTGCATACTACAGCAGATTTTCATATTCCAGCAAATCAGGTCTTGTATGATCACGTACATTTTCTCAAGTGCCCAGTGCTTTAGCTGAAAAACCATAATACTTCTTAAGTTATTTTCCTTTTATCTCAACTTTCACTTTGTAAGTCTTCCTAGTGAGTGTAACTGCATATATTTTGCTAGTCACACACCAGAGAAGCTGCCAGCAAAGAGAAAGTCCACAGGCAGTAATTCTCACCCAAGAATGTAAAAATTACATAAAAATCACACTCCTTACAACAACAACAACAAAAACAACCAAACCCAAACCCAAACCATAGATTTATTATTCCCTTTTATGTTTAGTTCATCTGGGTTACTGTTCTACATCTACTATAAACAACTGTTTTGTTAGTATAAAATGGAATGGTCTCTGGCCAAAGAACTTTACAGTAAGACACAGAAGTAGAAAAGCAAGGGAAAGGAAGGTAAGGCAGGCACACCAAGAAGATTTCTAGTATATAGGAAGATAGCATGCCTTGCTATGACTCTATACCTTTAAGGTGTTGTATTTTAGGAATACATCAGATGAGAAAAGATAATGGTAGTACATGGCATTAAAGACAGAATTCAACAAGGAATAAGCAGAGAAGACATTATCTCCTTGGTAAGTTTCAATACATGCACTCTTTGTCCAATGAATGCAGTGACTGCAGGAAGCTAACTTTATGAGAATGGAAGGTAAAATCGATTACACCTCCACATTGTTCTCAAGTGGCTGCAGTGAATTGAAGATGGATCCCTGCATAAATTCCATCTTCTAATGTGTTACATAACATCAAAGAGAACTCCACATTTGCAGTATAACGACAGCTGAACTTCTAAAGAAGGGTACAGAAATAAAACCAGACTGCTCTCCTATCCAAGGACCTAACTCTTCATTATAATACATAAGTTAAAATGACTTGACAGTCTCCTATTAATTGACCAGTACATATTGACTACCAAACTTTTTCTTACCTTGAAAAATGATTGCTTTATGTCTTGTCCCAGTCTCTCTGACATTTTACCCATGTTGTCTGACATTTTAGTCATTCCCTCTGCGAGGCTGTCAGGGAGAGACTTGACTGCATTTGATACATTTCTCATAGAGTTACGCAGTGGGTTTACAAATGTGTCCATCTAAAGAGGAAGATGTTGAACCAGAATTGTATGATCTATGGGGACACTAGTAAATTAATGTACTATGAGAAGTATATCATGCTATTCTGTGTGAACAATTACAAGAAGGACGACTGTAATTGCTTAAGCTCATTACATACTGCAGCAAAAAGTTTAAATTTCTTTTTCATTTATTTCTCAGTCCTTACATCCCTGCTGCAAGTCTTCACATCTTTCAATTGATCTTCCTGAGTCGTTTCCACTTAACTATTCTTTAGCTTTTCTTTCCTTGTATTTGCTTTCCTTTTCTTGTCCATTTAATGCCATTTCTTTGCTCTGAGACTCCTGCTTCCAAAAGCGTTTTCCTTCTGCTTTCAGCTGACCGTCTTTGAAACATGGCTTTCACATATACCTTATATTCAGCCCAGAGGTACAAACACTAATGTGATGCTCAAAAGATTGTGGGAGATTTCTAAGTTAAAGCAAATCTTACTCAGTCATCACATAAATAATGATAAACTTACAAGAAGTGTTTTACTATGCTCTGGTGTTAAGTACTTTAGAAATAAAGAAGTTTTAGATGCTTTTTATATGAAAAAGTCAACAGAAACTTAGAAATACTTATATTTGTAAAGCAGCACTCACACACTGGTCAACTGAACAAAGAATCATTTCTCTGAAGAGAGTTCTGGTGGCTTAAAATAAATGCACAGTTCAGAGCTCTGAATTTGATCATTGGCACTGCTTACAACTAAACCACACAGCAGCTGCTTTTGAAGGGAAATGTATTTCATTTTTTGAGCTGAAAGGTGGACAGTATGTAACAGCAGCAAATACAGAGTAAAGAACTGAAAAAAGATATAAGAAATGAGTAAAAAAAAAATCAGAGATGTCTCTGAGAAAGTAATTTGCAACAAGCACAATTTAAAAAGATTCTTAGTGCAATCCATGGTTCTATATTCCCTCAGATTCTTAGTAAAGTGTTTTGAAAGCATGGCTTAATATATGAAATATTGTATATATGAAATATTATATCTCATATTAAACTGAATATCACATATTCAAACATACTATATATGAAATAGCTGCTTAATATCAGATCAATATCTTTGTTTAATGCAGCCTTCACACTAACAAATGCTCTACTAAAGTTTCATTGATGTTGAAAATAATTCTTACCTTTCGTGCAAAATCCCCCTTCCCTTTGCTGTAGGCCTTATTTTCCAAGAAGTCGTACACATAATGGGCGAGAGCTGGAGAAGCTTTCATCATTTCAGGATTTAACAGGAGCTGAGTAAAATATTTTTTGAAAGAAACTGTTAAAGTAATTTTGAAAACGGCCATGCAGTTTAGTGAAAGTCAGCATGTTTTGCAATGTATTTTTTCATGCATCCTCTAAATTTTATTCCAACCTAACACTATTCTAAAGATGGAAACAATCTGCAATTCTATAATTCTTAACTAGTTCATTAACTATAGTATCTCACAGAAAAATACATTAAATACATTTTCATTATTGTTAAAACACCTGTCAAGTCAGTCAACACACTTTGGTGCTAAGTGACAGGGAAGTCCCTGTGAAATAAAACACAGTTCTCATCTGAATGGGGAAGCTGTGCTGTTGTGGTATTCAGCAGAGTGGGTGCCACGCCAATCCTTATGCAACAGCACAGGAGAAAGTAACTACAAAAATGAGTGTAATGGAAGAAATGATTAAAGAAAGTTTAGTGGTGTAGTGCTCCAAATAAATAAACAGATAGATAGATAGATAGATACATAGATAGATAAAGCAACAATTGGAATCTCACTAGCTCAAAGAAGCAAGGGCAGAAATGGCAGAGAATAAAACTAAACAGCATAGAAAAGGTGAAATAAGTAGATAATATAATGTTTTAAGTTCTGGCATATTATTTGGATGGATTCTGTTTGCAAATGAGACAGAAAATTCTGTTTTGCAGAAAATGAGCACTCGCACTTCCCACATTAACATCGGGACATACTGATGACAGACCTATGCCATTCCTATTTACTCACATTATTCAAAATTAAACTTGGCACTTAACTTCTGCTGGGACACTCACAACGTGTTGTTTTGTTCTTTTCATAAAGCATCAACAAAAACTACAGGCAAATTTTCCACATTGGGAAAAAAAAATAAAATCAAACAGGAGACATAACAGCTTACCTGCAAATATGCATTTAAATCTTTTTTCCTCTTCTCCAAGAATTCTCTGTCCATATTGTTAAATGTCTTTTTGCCAGGAAGTTTCAGTATGTTTGCCAGATTTTCAAACTAGGAAAAAAAGATTTTTTGCTCTGTGTTCAATGGAGGTTCAACTCACCAAGTAACCTCAGAAATGATAGATGTCATTATGTTCCCTTCTCATGTACCATATCAGACCTGACAATTTCTGCAACAAGCTCAGAAATCAGATACCCTGGAGAAGCCAAAAGGTAGGCTGTAAAGAACGAGTGCATGCCAACTCCCAGGAGATAGTCAAGGGCAAAATTTAAATTCAGAACACATCAAGCAATACTGAGTTTTGGAATACAGATTTATATTAGTATACTCTGCAAATGCAAATTATTCATGTCCTCACATCTGCTCAAAAAGCTTAGGTACAAGATTTATCATTATTATTTAGGCAGAAGTCAGTAGGGTTATGACTATACATCAAGAGAACTTGCACATCATTCTAAAACTTCTTCCCTTTCTTCTCATACTTCCTACAAACTTATTAAAGAAGAAATTAAAGTTTTAATCACTACAGTATATGGCAGCACCCTGTTTATACAGGTTATCACGATGTCAGGCGCCAGCTGACTTCTCCCACTGTTCCAGTTTTACACCAAGAACAGCTGTTTCAGTGAAACATTATAGAAAGATGAGGCTCTAACATATCAGAATGTTGAACAATTTTGCTACAGTTCAAAACAGTGAACTGTCGTGAACTTGAAGTGAACTTGAAGTATCAAGATTATTCATAGACAGAATCCAGAAACTTTTCTAAATCTTAAATAATTTTTTAAGGCATAAAGACAGTATTTAGTACTGCTCTCTAAAAGGTTGTATACTTTCCTCATTAGAGAAGATCATAAAATTACAGATTTAATGAGGGTTTTGTTCCATTTCAGTTCCTGCATGTGGACTTTTTGTGAAGACATCATTAACCTTGGAAGGACACAAAGGCTGTATAACGTTTATGGCCTACAGAAATCATCATACGTAACACATCTTACCCATGTTACATATCTCATTCACTTGCAAAGTGCCAAGGAAAGAATTGAACAGAATGTGGTCTATTTTTTATTTAGATAACTGCATCAAAACAGAAGCATGTAAGCAAAGAACAGTTTATATTTTATAGATACAAAAAGCAACACAATACTTTGAATAATATTACTCTACTAACTGAAGAAACTGGATGTGAATCAATTCAGCACTTTTCTTTAAAGTCCATACAGGCACTGGAACACACCAAATCCTTACCCCTCCTATTAATTTTAAATAAAAGATTCAAACTTTTACCTGTAAGATAAGGTGTGATGTCAATAAGAACATCAGACATGAACACAAAAAAGGTTTCAGTGTACCAGTGATATTCTCATGCCTGTAAACTCAGCAGGAATGTTAATTTTACGTCCAAAATAAAACAACGTTGTTGGGCATTTGAGAAATCTAATTCTTGATTACTGAGGTGATGCAGTAATATCTGACTTTTTTACTCTCTTAAGGCCACTACTGTTACGACCACTGACTTTTTGATGTCAGGAGATTGTACAATTTACTTCAGTGAATTACAAGTGTCTCATTTGTTTTCTCTCTTTTGTTTTAGGAGGTTTAAGAATCTGAGCATACAAGTATAGCAATAAAAGTGCAGTCTAGCAGTACATATCCTTTTATTACAGGAATTACACAGACATCATGTACTGAACAATTGCACTTGTAAGCAGCTCAATACAAATTATTACATTAATGGAGGAAAAGTACACATTAATGCAAAATACAGTGCAATTAGTCCACATCTTAACCCACTTTGAGAAAGCCAATGTGCCACACCATCTCACAGAAAACAAAACAAAACAAAACAAAACAAAACCCTCTTTCATAGAGATCTAAAAAGACTTCAATGGAATGAATTACCTGCTCAGTGATCCTCATGTGAAAGTCATGGAAGTCACTGTAGCGCCGATATGTCTTCCATGTTTCCTCGCTGTTTGCATTTCTCCGATGGACTGTGATAGCATACAGCGCGTACGTCTTGCCATGGTCATTACACACTCCTGCCACAGCATATGGGTCATAGTCAGCATATACTAGTAGTTTAAAAACAAAAATAAAAAAAGGAACAAACAGAAAGAAGGAAGACGAGAGGACACAAACGTGAAGTGAAGAAATGTCTGAAATGACAGACTTGAGAAACTAAAATGGACATGCAAGCAGAAGAGTAAGTCATCCATCTATCCAAAACACTAGAAGTGTTTGAACATAAATTTAATTCACAGAGATTAAGTAGCCTTAAAGATAGGCTAGTTTACTCACATGCAAAACATAAAATAAATAAATAAATAAATAAATAAATAAATAAATAAAAAAGGAAAGGTTCCAACTTTAATGACTAGAGAATAGATCTTTTAAAAAATAAATTCAAGCTAAGGAATTCAAGATAGAGGTGAAAAACAACTGTGAAACCAGAAGAAATTCCAGTCTCCAAAGTACCTTCTAGTCGTATTTTAGAAAGTTTACAAATACAACAGAAAGCATAACATCACAAGCATCATTTCTTTCTTTACCATTAGCAGTTACTGGCTACAAGATAAAAAACAACCCCCACAGTATTTCTCAGTCGAGAGAAATTATATACACATAGACACACAAATGCATGTATTCTGTATGTGTGCACATGTATACATAATTCTATGTATGTATACACACATTTTATGGAGATGCCAATTCATAAATGGAAAGAACACAGATGGCTATCTTGAAAAGAAATTTTTAAATTTTCTTCTGCATTTTTTCCATCCCTATAAGAAAAATGTTTCAAAAACTCCCATCTAAACCACAGAACATCGTAAAACCAGCACTGTATACACTGCATATGTTTATACTCTTAACATGCTCTAAACTCCAAATACTGAGCCAACAGCTCTTAGCTAGATGAAAATACTTAAGTTCTATGAATTTCTTAATGCGTTCCTGCTCCATGAAATACAAATACACTTCTCTGCCAAATCATCAGCTCTAACCTCTTGGTATTTCATAAGAACAAGGCTGATATCTAAGCTGCAAAGCGAGCTCAAGGACAGGGGCTAACAAGGTAAGAATTCCCCACTAGTAAAACACAGTGGGAATGGAGCATCACCAATCTTCTTTGGCGTCAATCCTTTAGAAGAATGATGAGTGCTGAATCCAAGAGTAAAGAGACAGCAAGCCATTGCCCCATGGGTGTGCATAAAACGTATCCTCTAAACTCACACTGACCACTCTGCCACTGTACCACAACCCATGGTCCTCTAGTAGGACCACTGCCAGCCAGGAGCAATAGAAAAAGAAAGAAGCAGCTCCCACCATGCTTTACATTGTATCTTATTATAACAAACACATATTTTGCAACACAAAGGAAGCTGAATTCTTAACTTTTACAGAAAAGACTTTGTAACCCCCCTCAGCACAGTAAAGGGCAATAGACAGCTCAGGAAAGAAGCCTGCACACAGATGCACCATGTGCATGCTGCCTGCAGCACCCAGAAGGCAGCAAGACTTCTGTATCTTGCTCCAATACAAGGTAAAGAAAAAGGAGAGGGCTAGTTTAATTCTTACAGTATGAACCTGTGCATATTCCTTGTTTCATATGAATTACTATGGAATGATGGAGTCAAGGTGATAGTAATCAGGACTTGCTGGCATCAGACTATAAATTGAACATAATTCACGAGAGTTTCAGAGTTTTATTTTCCTTAGAGATTAAAACAATGAAACTTTAAATTTAATTCAGAAAACAAGTAATGCCCACAATTTTAGTACAAGAAAAATTGTGATTCTTAACTGTTAAGATTATTTTTCTCCTTCTCTGAGGGCTAACAACATAGAGACTATTGGACTGTACCATGCTGGGTTGCCATAAATTTAATTGAGCTAACTGACATTTTAATTTCTGCTCACAGCTTTCATCTGTGCTATATAAATACATAGTTTAAAAGTCATAGTAAACTCTACCCAAAGACTCGCTGACAAAATCATTTTCCAGTGGAATCTTGTCTTGTAACTAGAGTATTTGCAAATAGTACCTGAGCTTTATTATTTGCTATCCTATCATATATTTTTCTAGCTTATTAATAAACAGAAGTTTGCTAAAATAAACAAGAATTCCAGCACTGTAAAAACGAAATTCACTACCTTAAATTGAGCCAAGGCAATCAGGAAGCACAGAAAAGAGGGGATTATATTGTTGCAAGGGAAGTGAACGTTTAAGAATACAACTTGTCTGACTAGAAAGAAATTTCGTTTTCAGAAATTGTTCTTTAAATAGTTGTCAAAATAAACACTCAATATTAAACTTAATGAACAACAGTTCATTAACTTTTTCCGTCATCCATAGAAAGGAAAAATAACAGTGCTATAAACAGCAAGATTTGTATTTCATTTTAGGTACATATATAGTCTCGAGCTACAGCAACTGTAGCTGTATGAAGTTCCATTACGAGGACTTCACTGGGAGTACGAATTCAATGTTTTATGATATTAAAAAAAAAAAAAAAAAGGAAAGGATTAGGAATTCATGGGCCTGTCATATTAAAAACAAAAAACAAAACAAAACAAAACAAAACAAAAAAACACTCAAAAGTTGGGAAAAAAAAGTAAGCAGTTGTTGTAACAGATTAACTTACCAGTATCCGAGATATATGCATGGAGTTGAACTGTTTCATCAGAAGGGACATTTGAAAGGTCATCTAAGGACTGCAGGGGGAGAGAACGGGCAGAAGGAAGAAATGAGCAATAGAGAATAAAATCACAGACATGTCTCATTTGCAAGTTGCTTTTTGATTAATCTAGTTCATTTTCAAGTTCTAGCTCACTATACTATTAAGATAACTTAATGCACAAAATTATGTTCTTATTACCTGGTTACTAGAGTAATTCCCCCCAAAACATACAGTTTCACATACTTTTGTGACCACTCAAATGTATTTCTTTCCCTGTACCACTTTCATTTGATATTTCAATGTAATAGAATTACAGCCACAAACAGTCTTTCACTGAGCATTTGAAAAAGAACAGCAGTACAGCTATGGAGATACAGTTGTGGTGTAACTGAGATTTTACTTACTATTACTTAAATCTTTATACTGTTTGTTTCTTTCAACTGACTGCCAACTAGGCAAAGATATAGCACAGTAAAAGTTGAATAATTTCTCCACTCTATGTAAAAAACTGTGAGCAATTTTCTCAGACACGTTCTCCCTTATAAAATATGAACACATGAATCCTTAGGCTAATTCTATCTCCCTGTTCAGTAATAATTCGGGATCAAAAGAAGCTTAATAGATGTTTGAAAGATGCTTTTATGTGATGCTTTTTTTTTTTTTTTTTTAAATTATTTATGCCAAAGACAGAGCTACTGAAACAGAATTTATAGGCTTTTGGATCCTAGCTAATTTAGGCAACTCCAATACTTCACATACTATGCAATCCTGACATCAAACTACTGTTGTATTTTTTTTTTAAAGCATCATTACTTATTTTTACCAGTCCCTAAATCACCTACCTGACTTTGTCCTTTTTTCTTATATTTGCAGAGTTCAGACTAATATATATTAATGACATTCAAAAGATAACTCAGGTATTTCTGCTGCTATTTAAGGTCTTGGATATGTATTACCTTTGTAACTTCCTCTATTTTACTCAGTGCAAAAGAAATACAGAAAGTTCAGATCATGGAACAAGTCAGATGACATCTGCAAGAGCCTAAATATTCCACAGTTGTTTTATACTGCAAAAATGCACCCTACTGTTTAGTGTAGTAGATGAAGGTGTTAAATTAGAGACAGGAATTGAGAAGACAAGGATAACTTTTCCTTAAAAGTTTCAAATAATCTTAAAAGAAAATAACACAAGTTAATTAAACTTAAGCAAAACTATCATGCCACAACCTAATCTTTCTTAATGCACTGTCATTAACTAAAAGTACAGAAATTCCATGACCTTTAAAGTAACCTTACCAAGGTCTATTTTACTTCAAGCAACAAACTAGCACAAGGGAGCAATATTATTTGTACAGAAATGTACTCTTGCCATGGAATTCAGCCAGGAAAAACTAATCTACCAGTACTCAAACACCTGTAAAAGCACTGAAAGCCCCAAACAACCCTGAAGAATAAGGAATATAGAAAGTAAATTTTCTTCTGCCTAAGGGTTTTATTAAATATTTCTGTTTAATTAAACATTCTGTATAAATGTTTTTCATTCTTCATGAAAATAATATATGTTAAATTCTTATTAATTAATATGCAACAATGCTTAATAAAGGCTTTAAGATTTTCTAGCTTAGCTAGGAAAAGTCACATGAAAGTAAGTAGCGCTAAACATCCACCAGATGCTCTATAACAAAGAGGAACCCCTACCCAAGTGCAATTCTGATACATCAGGTTATGTTTACAAGAATACTTGCGATATTTGAAAGGTCTCTTTAAAGAAATGCCAATTACAATAATCTCCTATAACACTTCATCAGCATTGCATGCAAATCGAAAAATATAACAAACCCCTATGTTTTACTTCTGTATCTAACAGGATTTTGTGCAAGTTCCACCTGCTGAACCCTCTCATCGTATTTCAAAATGTAAACAAGATGAAAACAATAGAAATCACAACAACAAAAAAAAAAAAAAACCAACATGGAAGCTTGTTAACATTTACTGTAAAAGTATTCTTTTAACGAGTAAATTCTACTCCTCTGCATGCTGAGCATGCTCTAATGCACTGGAACTCAGACAGACGTGCGGAATCCTCCAAGAAGGAATTACAAAGGGCTGTGAGTCACATAAGCCAGGAAGGCACACGCTGATTGCAAACTTTTCTAAAACTAGACACCCAAAATACCCTCCAACAAACTTCTGAGTCTTCTTATCTTGTTCAGTTAGATATAATTTGAAGAAAACAAGTCAGAGGGAGGGGAGAAAATGCATCAAAATTGTTCTTACTTTTTACTTCTTGCAAATTTGTGATTGTAGCCATTCTATGATTCCATGAATCTGTGTATGTTTTTAAACCAAGTTTTAAAAAACCCCACTGCGTTAAAATTAAATGCTTTGTTTTGCAGCTTGAGATTTTAGTTTCAAAGCATTTCACCTATTACTCAAACTTAGAATTTATGTCTATTTTGACATAAGGAACAGGTATAAAGATGTATGTTTTTCATAAATTAACTGCAGTGCACTAATACACTTTTCATGAGAAACTATGTAAGCAATTCATTGGACTCAGGCAAAGTACAAAAAAGAGCTTTATCTTACAGACTAATTGAGCCTTAATGCATCTTTCAGTAAGTTTCAACAGCATAACAGACTTTTTCAGAAATTAAACTGCAATGAATTAACACCTCTAAGATGTACATAATTGAAACTAATTTACAATACTCTCTACTGTTGCGGAGAGAGGAAAAAAGAGCACTTACCAGATTTATGCTACTAGTAGGAGACCCATTAAAAGATTCTGGCATCAGTGAGGATTGGGAAAAGAAAAAAAAAAGTTAGATTTCCTCCAACGTAGGGCCACACAGAAGAAATAGCAGTCCTTGTAAGTTTTTGTAGTTTCATTTCTGTGAAAAACTGCTATCATGGTATTGAGAAACATTTGTACACAATACATAAATACTTCCAGTTCCAAAATAGCATCTAAATGAAAATGTATGGAAGTTTCCACAGCGATAAATACAAAATAAATACTCCAAAGAATGTGTTTTTATTTTAAGCTCATACCACATGAAATTGCTTCACTAACGAGTCAATTTAATAGTTGAATAATTTCCAATAGATTTGAGATAAAGTTAAGGAGAATTATTCAGTTGCAAACTTCCTCTGGGATGCACTGTGTTAGAAATCAGATTTAAATATTATTAAGTATTTAAACACGTAAATATTTAATACATATATATCTAATTAGAATATACTTATCATATATCTATGTGTTCATTCTGTATTGGAGTATAAATACCATATAAGTATGTATTCATATCGACTATTAAAGTGTTCTAATTCATCAGATTTTTAAATAAAAAATTACTGTAATCTCATCTCAATCAATAGAATAAGCAGCTAACCCTTTGACCCAAAAGCATTCACAAGAAAAGGTGCTAAGACTTGAGAGTAGTTAAAGAAACAGAATAAAAAAGGACAAGATAGAACAGTTACCTAACTCTCACATCATATGTAAACAATTTAAATTAAGTTCAGTATATAATTTCCTCAAAAAGGATTCATTTTTATGGCCCATCTAATATGTCTAACAATAAAAACAGATACGATACTACTTCAGATGACAAAGCAACATTTAAGAAAATTCAGTACGATGAGGATACAACAACACAAGAAAAAGTACAGAGAAAAAAACCTCTTCCCCCTCCACAATAATGCGGATAGAAAGGAAAGCAACATTAACATTCTCAAAGCGAAATAAAGCCAGTATTCCTGTCATTCTCACACTAGCACAACAAAAAATAGCTACTCAAAAGTAGCTTGAGTTGTCAGCAGTGCACTTTAGCTTACTAGCAAACAACCAAATGCTGGTAAACACCAAATGCTATTAGGAAATTACAAAATACCAGAAGGCATCCCTACAGCATGAAGTCTGCCTAATATCCAAAATACTTAAACAAATAAATGTCCATGTTCACTGATGACTTGCTTTCATCTTTATTCAATCTAAGATTAAATTAAATTATTATGTTATTCAATTTACATAACTTCTAGTGGTAGGACTACATCCAACATGCTAATGGCTTTGTTACATTTACAAATTCAAATATGTTAATTAAAGAATGACCTAAAATGTATCTGACCCAAAATAAATATCCTCAGGATTCCCTTGGATTTGTTAAAGAATTTACAAGGCCATAATAAAATAGAATGAGAAAATGTTAAGCAAAGAAATTAAATGTTATAAAATGAAAATACACGAATATTATTTAGACCAACTTTTATGAATATAACTAATAATACAAAGGATAAAACCACTAAACAAAGAACAGGCAAAAGAACAAGTAGATCAGATTAGCTTGGGAACACAAAAAAAGGGAGGTAGAAGTGTTATTAGGTAGTCTGTACAGTCGTGTAAGATCTGCAGATACGGGAGGCAGTTAAGTGGGAAGAACGAAGCTGATTATCTTAAGATTCTTCAGGCATTAACAAAATACATCACTAGAGGGTAGTAAAAAATACAGCTCTCTTTCCATCTTCAATTGCTCTTAATCTAAGTATTCACATAAAATTGTAAGGAAGTGAAAAACTTCAATGTTTTCAATGAATTCCCATGTTTTCATTTTTCAGAAAGCTTAAAAAAACCGTATCTATGTACTTTTGTTTTCTATTATGTGAATAACAAGGGTATGTATTACATCCTACATGAAGCTAATAAAGTTACTACAGAAAAACCTTTCTGCATCTCCAAACAATTTACAGGAAAACAGAAACAGAAAACACTAAATCTGAATTTTTAATTTATTTGAAGGCAGAAAAAAAAAAAAAGAATATTTCCAGAAAATCTCCCAAACAAGTAAAGAGCTCACCTCCCTCACCATCATCTGATCCTCGGAAACTGGGATCCTTCAGCATATCTAGCTCAGCTAACATGCGGACATACAATACGTTCTGTTTGAACGAAGGGTAGAATCTTTCATCTCGCAGCATCAATTCATACACCTTATTGAAGTAAAAATCCCAACATCAGAAATATTAATGTTATGATTTTTTCACTAGACAAGCTTTCATAAATTCTATTTGAACAACACATATCGCCATACTGTATGACTGTCAGAGTTGCTTTTAAAACTCTACTGTAAGCCTGAGAAATTTCAATTTATGCTTACTCTTAACAAAAAAGTTAAGAGAATTAATTTTGTTAGCAGCATAACAAAGAATTAACAGAAACTCTTTCACTTACTAATGATGTATGTACATATAGGAAGAAAATTAGTGAATTAACTGTGAACACTTTCTTCCTTTCCTCTTAACTATCCCAGCAGCACTCATCAATTTCATGAGAAGTTATTTCTCTATCTTAAACTCTAAGCATAAACTTGAAAACACCTACAGGAAGAGGTACAAGGGAGAAAGGAAAGGGAGGAAGACTCCACATACTATTTTCTTGAAGATTTTCAATTCAGCCAGAACGGTACCATCTTACATCACATAGAATTAATCACATCATCTCAAAAATTTGTCCACGCAGCCTGAACAATTGACATATCACTTTCCTGTTATACTAACATACTCCTCAGTACCATCACACCCAAACCACCATCTACTCATCCATGTACACAAATTTTATCATGAAGGTAACTAGTAATTTAAGTAGATATGGGTTTTTAAAAAGAAGAACACACAATGTATGGCATTTTAATCCCCTACAAAATTTCCTTAGGAGAGCAAGATTTTCATTCATTGTTTTTCAATCAGTACTCACTAGCAATCCACTTGTATATACGCACAGACAAATATTCATATATATTTTTATGTATTGTGAAAGAATCTGTACAAGTGCTATCACCTGGAAAGAACGGTCCCCAAAAATTTGTGCCATTCTGAGGAAGTCAAATGCAAGGCCCTTGTAACCTACTTAGAGCAATGCAGGTTTTATAACATGCTTTTATTGGTCTTAAATGCAGTCCTAACGTACAACAGAGTGATTCCAAACTCTGCAGTTCATATCACTAATTTTTAGTACAAATGAGAACATTTAGTGACTGAAAACACAGAACTCTCTCAGACTGGATATGTAATTTACTGACTCATTTTTTGAAAAAAAAAATTAGGCTCGAGTGATAGAGGCTAAGTACTCAGGTACTGAAAAGATAGTTTCATCTTTGCTATTTGCTGCTTTCTGTGCAGTCCTACAGAACAGAGTTGGCCAATTAACTTCCTGAAAGAAATAAAATTTCATACAGTAATACACTTATACTTAACTGAAAATAGAGAGCCGATGACAGATGAAAATCGTACCACCTATGTGTTACTTGCATAGGCACATTTTCTGAGATTGGTGCACAAACAAATAATAATCACATAATTTTTATCCATGCTTCATAATTAATTTCACTCAGGTCACCATCTCTTTCTGCCCATTACTTTGACAATTATGAACTACATATGGCTAAGCAGAAGGTGGCAAGATAGAATATTTTTACAGAAAAGGAAATTATAGAAAAGGAAAATAGTAAAACAGGTTTTAGGTTTCTATACTTGATTTTCTTCCTCCTCTGGCTGCAGTGAAGTTTAATACCCTGTTGCCATAAAAATGCCAATGAAATACAGCAAGAACAAAGTATACCTTTCTTTGAATGTCATCGAAGATTTCAGGTGTTGGATCCTCATGGTTCAGTGTTTCTGCCAGTTTTGCTACCAAGTTGTCATCAATATTAACTCTTGGAGATGCCTGTCACAGAGATCTAAATCAACTTTTGCAGCATAAGAATAAAAAACTTCTATTTTCACAAATAAAATCTAATACAATTCTGCAAGTATCTGAGCAAAATATATAGGTTTGTGATGAGTATTTCTAGAACTAAATCCGCCTAGGACAGAAAAAAGGGGAAAAAAAAAATCTATGATGAAATTCAGAGTATTAAAGCTCAGAAATTTCAGAATACCAGAAAGCACCTCAAAACACAATTTAAGCACATTAATATGAAGCAATACATCATCCAGAAAATTACTCAGACTCAAGCATAGTTTTATTTATGAATAGAAAGACTCAGATTCAGAAATAAAGAAAAACCCACTTAAAAAAAAAAAGGCAAAAAAAAAAAACAACATCAAAAACCTAACAGCTTGTCAGTTCTACTAATTTCTGCAGGCTATCAGGAGCTGTAAGCACAGTAGCTTCTTACACTGACAGTATTACAACCACCAGAAAAGACAGCCATCAGATTCTCAGTCCTCCCTTGATATGAGGTATTTCAAAATGCTGCCAGTTAAACATTTTTTTTTTTTTTTTATATAGGCCTAAGCTCACATAATTTCCCATTTTCAGCAGCAGACACAGGAACCAGCACTAAAGCAGACCCAACACAGCTGCTCAACTGATCTATTTAGTACAGCTGACAGGCTGAGTTGGTTGGCTTTGGAATAGCTCTGGGATTACACGGCTCCTGTGTAAACTGGTGAGTGTTCAGTCAGCAGAGCAAGATCTGGACAGTCTAAAGAAACCCTGCTGATATGCTTCTGAGGTGAAAATACAAAATGAAAGAAATAATGCAGAAACACTGCAATAGATTTGAGGGAAAATTTCTTGAGGGAAGCTTTTGAGTAAGCTGAAAGGTGATTTTTACGCATACGCAAATTCAGAACAAAGATGCTTCGTTCACAAGTCTGAAAACAGGGGTCAAGATTGCCAGAAAATCACCAATTTTTTTTGTTTACTTGCAATTTCTCTTTCAATCAAAATTAATACATGACCTGCAAATTTTCAAATGGAATGTACAGAGTTGCAATCAGAAATTCAACTTAAACATTGGAGCATGTCACTCTACTGGACTTACATAAACCCTGTCTTAACAGAGAGAAATACCTTTGTTTCACAATTAAACCTTATTCACGTCATGGCTTTTTGGCAGCATGCACTTTTGTGAGCAACATTTTTCAAGGATGAAGCACACAATGAGTAAAATTTCATAAAAAAAATCTCAGAAGAAACCCATGAGAACTCATTAAGAATTGCAACTGCTTCCATCCATCCAGAGTGACGCACTGGTTTCACAATAAATGGGGTCAAACATGGGCTGTTTGATAATTTTATGCTTTTGTTGTCCTCTTTTTCATGTTTTTATAAAAATAAACAACAACAAAAAAGTTTTGCTACTTAAATACTATAACTGCAGTTTATCTTTTATGAGGTCTGCTCCAAAAGCAATGTCTCCTATTTCATTATGTCAGCCCAAAATGTCAGATGTGGATGTTGGTGAAGACTGAACCTTCCCACCAATATTCCATGACATTTTGTTTCCGTATGACAAATGGCAGCAAAGGGGCAGTCTGACGGAATGGAGCCTGACACAGATGTGCATATGAAGCAAAGGTAAGCTACTGAATTCCTCCAAGCAGAAATAGTGGCATCCATTGACAATCACTGACACTTTCTGAATGTTTACGGAGACCAAACTGTGGATATGAGTGGTACATCTCAGCAACTATGTGGATACAGAAGCTGCAGAACATGGGTTACTTCTGCTGATGCAAATTTTTGCAAGCATGGCATTCAGGCTCTTATTCATGGCTGGTGAAAATGCACAGCTAACAGTAGTGACCATGTTAGAAAAACAGCGTTTTGTAGATGAGAATTTGCTCTAGCAGGTAGCATTACTACGCTCTCTGTATGGGCTGTAGTTTGCATAGAAATAAACAGGAGGCATTACTTTCAGAGCATCCTACATATACATGCCCTAAGACAATTCCTGTTCACTCAGTGCAGCCCAGGCAAGCTGAAAGGTTAGGCACTCATGCACTGCAGGAAGTAATTCCTTATTATATCTTAACATTTTCTCCAGTTTTTCTATATACTATTATAGAAAGAAAGCATCGGAAGGTCACATTTTCAATGCTTTTGGTAAGATAGCCAAAGAAACTGAAGAAATTTTCTTACTGCTCGACATAAGGAGAGAAGACACGCAGGTAGTACCCTAATGTTAGCCTGTAAACAACTTGTGCTGTATCAAATCAACTTCTTATTACTGTAGTCATAACTACCAGACAACCATCTATAAAAACAGTACATTTCAAACAATTCAGAAGTACATTATTCCTACCTTTTCTGATAAATATTGCTCATAAACTCCAACTGCAGCTGCTCTTAATAGACCCTTGGTCTGATTAGTCTGATGTTTTCCATCTCTTTGCCGGCTTTGAAGTACCTCCAGCTGTTGCTGTGCTGTAACCCTGTATCCTTCCACTGTCATCCAGAAAAACAGATGTGCTTGGCCACCAGTCTGCTGCATGTAATCTACAAAAAACAAACAGAAAATATCAAGCAAACAAGCACAGTTATTTCATCTTAAAGTAAGAATTCTCTAAAATGTTAGCTAAAATTTGAACTCCAGAACATGTTAAATATCTGGAACAATTATCCAGGGTGAAAAAAATAAAGAGGGCTATATATGTATTGGTCCAATCAGTAAACAAAACTGACAGTAAAGAACTAGGCTGCTAATCTTAAAATGCACATGTAAAAACTGAATCAATCATTACTGTGTGGAAGCAACAGAGTTGTATAGCACGATACAAGCAGAGAGGAAGTTCAAACTGGAATTCTAATGAATCACATGCATGTACTGCATTAAAAAAAGTATCAAAAACAACAACATAATAAAAAAAAATTGATACTCTTAGTGATGATCATCAGGAGCATTATTTATTTACAGAACAGCAACAAGCACCAGAAAATGATAAATATGTTACTCAAAATCTGATCTACCAAATTCTTGATTATATAGTAAACCTAAAACAGTACATAGATTCCTGTTGTATTTTAAGAGAACATTCAGAAGATCCATAATACTTGAAAGATCAATCTAACATCTATAGCCATTAGCTCCATTAGCTTCAGTGAGGCCAGCAAAAGACAAACAGTAATGATTAAGTTTCAGAGTTACATCAATTACAAAATTCTAAGCAATTCTTTTCTAAACAAACAAATTTCTTCAGTGACATACAAAGAAAGAATGCATTTTATAGAGAGATCAGCACTGAAACAAAATTAATACAGGTATTTAGAAGTGCTGAGCATGGTGTTCGGAAAAGATAATTAATTTCATTTGCAAAAAAAGGTTCTGGTCACCTCTGGCAAGGACATATTTAACTCTCAGTAAATACTTATATTTAGGTACAATTATACAGTGCTGTGAGTCAGCATATTGCTTCTAAATAGAAACAGAAGATAAACTGATACTTACCCATAAAAAACTGTAGTGCAACATTGTCTACCAGGATATGGTCCAGAGGGACTGTGCAAAGTTTTCCAAAGTTTGCTGCCAGTTTCACAGTATCTATTTCCTATAAGACATAGTTCAATGTTCATTTTTCTTAAATTTTTTAAGAATTTTCCCTTACCATAAAGTAGGCATCATAATTAAAAATAATAATTATAAAAAAAAAAAACACAAAGAAAACATATTATAGACAATAAACCTGCTTTTCTATGGATAATTATTTTTACAGTCACTAATGAGACCAATACGGTCATTTTCTCATAAATATTTGGTTTCAACTATTTACTACTATACGAAGAGTTGCTTTTAGCTCTGTCATTCACGTCATGCTATATAAGTCAAAATAACACCAAATCTCTCTTAACTGCTTACAATAGGATGAAAATAAAGTAATTTCAGAGTTTTATGGGGTGCAGATCATTACAACTTAAATTTATGTCTGCTCAACTGTATTCTGTTAAAATGAATTAATTGGTATTACTGCAGTGCTTCAGGATCCAGCCACAGAATTTTTTTAACGTTTTAACAGTCAGTACGCACAAGGTTACATTATTACAGAGACACACTGAAGTCCAATTAAGAGAGTCATGAAACAAAGTAAACATACTAACTCTGTATAAATATAAATCAAAACATACAAGTCAACAGAATAACGTTAAGTTCTCAAATTTAACATCCAGTCTGCTTCAGGTTTTTTATGAACTAAAGCAGCAAAATATCTGACAAAACACAATACATGGAGTGTCCATAAGGCACATAAAATAATCAAGTGGTGCCTTAATAAGACTAGGAGAATTTCGCTAAAGACTAAACTTAAAATGCCAAAGGTATGTATTGGAGCAGCAAAAATAAACAAAAACCTGATCTGAATCCAGGTGCATAAATGCAAAGATGTAAATATTACCTACACATCATTTCAGTTTATCCTTTATACTGAACCTACAGGTTGAGGTGTAACAACCTATCTAAACTACCAAAGACAGATTTTAATACTCTCCAATCATGTAAATTAGAGACTAAGTTGAATTTTATGTATTCCTATAATTGCACACTTCAAATTTGTTTCAAAAAGCAAGAATTAAGAAGTTAGACTGAACTATTAAGCTTTTCACTTCACTCTCTCAGAATGAAAAAATCTTTCTAAAATACTTACTTTTCCTGACTGCAACCTCTGAATTCTTGAATCACATACTTTAATAACATATAATAAACTGTTTATTTGATTTTTTATAGTGTTGATATCTGAAAGTAAGGAGAAAAAAAAAAGAGGATTAAGTAATGCAGATGAGCAAATAAACTCTTGTCCTGAAATACGAGACATACTTTAAGAACACGTCAAACAAAGAAGGGAAATATTACATAGCAAACTCATCAGATTTGCAGAGGTTTACAATTTAAATACTTCACTGATAGAAATCAAGGAGAAGAATTTCTCTCTGCTTTCAGACTGTTAGCTGACTTCTCATTAACATCTAAAGTATTACTGAAATTCAGAACCGGCTGCCAGGTAAGTTTCAAATCACTGGAAGTATACATATCTAATCAATTTTCTGAACTAAAAAGAGAAGAAAAACAAACAAACAAAGAACACTCTCCTGTCCTTCCCCCCAAAAAAAAACAAAAATGAAAACAAAACCAGACAAAACTAAAAGCACAGGTCCTAGGTAAGACACACACAAAGAAAATACAGATGGTTAAAATTGATTTGCTTTTAAGCACAGAAGATTATCCAAGTTTCAGCACTTTACTTTTTTATTTTTGTTAAGAAGAAAATGTTTTTATACTAAGTTATATCAGTTTACATTTCCTGAATTTTTGGAATGTTCTCCAGTGATCATGCTGGTAACTACGTTTCATATTTTGTAGAATAACACAGTACTAACCATCTCCTGCTGTATCTAGAGATCGAAGATATTGCAGTTCTTCGCTTGCTTTATCTTTGACTGCTTCCAACTCTCCTATATTATCACTTAATTTAATAATATTCATAAAGGCCTCATAGTTACAGTTGGAATCACGAATCTGAAACAAAATTTTACAGCATGAACAATATAAAACAGATAAAAGCAAGACCTGAATCATTATGAATTACTTCGATGCAAAATAGCATTTTGAAAACATTTTGATACTTCTAGGTCTTCTTTTAATGCTAAAATTTTATACTGTGAGGGAAGCATAAAATTTTCAGAAATCCAAATGATAAATGAAACTGGTCATCTTAAGTCATCCATATGTTATAAAATCACAGAATGGCCTGGGTTGAAAAGGATCGCAGTGATCATCTTGTTTCAACCGCCCCACTATGCGCCAGGGTCGTCAACCACTAGACCAGGCTGCCCAGAGCCACATCCAGCCTGGCCTTGAATGCCTCCACGGATGAGGCATCCACAAGCTCCTCTCCCTGCTGGCCACCCCTTTTCTAATGCACCCCAGAACACAGCTGGCCTTCCGGGCTGCAAGCGCACACCGCTGGCTCATGTCCAGCTTCTATTTGTACTTTCTATTTCTGTGGGCCAATGGTAACATTCCACCTCACTGCCTTGTCTGTCAAACATATCAACCTGTCTCTAAGCTTGAGCCAGCACTGCCAGATGATTCCTTCCTGTACTACATACATCTACATATTCCCAAACTAATGGTGTCTTAAGATTCAGAATTAAGAAAAGAAATGAAGCATTCTGTAACATATCCATGACCTAGTGTAATAAGAACTAGGAAATGCCTGAAGTAACATTACCTGAAAAAATCTAATTCTTGAGACTTCTGTAAGACCTACTGAGCTGTTTCAATATACATACTATTATCCCAAGGCTTGCTGTCCTAATATTGTTATAAGATGAATGCAGTCTGCTATAAGGACACAAAGGAATTTATTCAAGTAAGGGAAGCCTGCTGCATTGTTGAGATCATTAGAAACTGCATTATGAATGCAGCATGGGATCTCAGGAATGTTGGCAGCTTTACAGCATATGCATGCAGGTGCAGACAGCTGAGTCCTATAAAGCTGTCTTTATATCCAAAGCAAGGGTGGAGAGAAAACCACATCACTCATGTCTATCATAAAAACTCACTATCACATGGAAACATAGCAGTTGGTCTGCACAGCCAAAGCAGACTGGCATGAGCTGCACAGAAAAGAGACTACAAAGCACATATACCTTTAACCATAGTTAATTTTAAAATATATTTCTTATAAGTTGCAATCAGATGCTCAGGTTCCTTCCAGCCCAAGCTATTGTACTGTACTACCATAAGCTTTTTTTTCCATGTAACAGTACAAGAAATAGTTCAATTCTAAACATTTTATTAAAAAATGAATTTTATGGCAAAAAGACAAGCTTTGATTAATTTCTAATTTTAAAACAAAACGATTCAATATAAAACAATTAGTAACAGTCTACCATATGTCAAGAAACACAGTATTGAACTTCTCATTCAAAAGAATCAATTTTTTTCTCTTTGAATCTGATTTTATATCAAAGATTCCCATTAAAGAGAAGAAATCAAAATTTGCCCTATTTTCTTTTAACCTTAATTTCTACACAAGCTTTCATTTGTAAGACTTGTATTAAATTTTTGAAAGCATTTACTGTTATATGTTAGCCTTATTTTCCCCCAGAATCTTTACTTCTTCATCTCAAAGAAATTATGAAATTAACAATTGGGACATCATCATAACAGAAAGCTTTATAAAAGCCTCAGAATTCTATCTTTGGATGCAGTCGGGGGCAGTGCTCAGTAAATAAAGAGGCCAAGTTACTAAAAGCAGCAGATGCGTAGGAGGAAAAGGGAAACAAAAATTGAAATCCTTAGTACGCAGAAGCAGCAATAATTTTTCATACTGAAGTTCCTTTAGAAAAGCCTTGCAAACCTTGCAAACTTTTACATAAAATGGAGATTAAAGGAAACAAAATATTATGTACACCTGAAGCAATTTCATACATTAAAAAAAAAAAAATCCAAGGTTTTCAGCATAGTCCTGGAACATGCACTCCAAGATTAAAATGTACAATTGACAGTAGAGAAAACTTGGAGAAGACAAAAATAGATGTGACTCATGGCCCACAAGGAAAAAGCAATAAACTTGAGTTTTAACTTGGACTATCAGACAATAACATTAATTAAAATGAAAATGTTCCATGTATGCTTTTTGTACATACTATTACTTTATGGAGGGTTTTTTTGCAGGTTACTTTTGCATTAGAGAGAGACATCAAAGTAAAGATTTTCTTTCTTCCCATTTGGTTAAATTATTAAGGATCACCACAAATACCCTTAAAACAAATCCTGAGATTTCTAAGCAGAAGCAAATGCACACACACACAAAACCACTTTATTACCTGTCACTCTGCAGGTCTCTTAAGCTTTAGAGTACACTTATTAAAAAAGAGTCAAGAAAAAAATAACTTTCAAGGTTACCACCATACTTCCTGAACAGCCAGCCAATTTTTGCCAAAGAACCACAACACAGGGTACAGGTAATAAAGACAGCATATACACACGTGCATAAACATATACACACATGCCAGCCAAAGTTATTCCTGCCAATATTACCATTGGTTAACTTTTCTACTCGATACATTTTGCCATGAAAACAAGGGAACACAAGCGAAGGCATATAAAAACAAAACGATTATAAATCTTACCATCCATATGACATACTGATTAATATAATCAGGATCACTGAGTTGGTTTATTAATGGAAGAAGAATTCCTCGGGAGAGGATTTCCTAAAAAAATAAGATACATAATTTTCAAGTAATTATTCATAAAATAAGTGTGATAATTTCAGTAACACTGCATACATGTTAAAGAAAACATGTAAGAATAGTTATCATTCAGCAGACTCCAGCACACTACCTTTCCAGTTAACATCAGAAGATATTGATGTATCACAGAAAACAATATTCATTTCATCACACTTTCCTAATATTGCTAGAGGTTAAAAAAAAAAAGCCCTTGAGCATTTCATAAAAACCAAATTATTCTATTAAATACTTTTAAGGATTGTATTTCATTTTAAATAATTCAATGCAAAGTTAAATTGATTTTCTAAAACAGAATTAAAGAAAAAAGACCGTTCTAAAAATTTATGAGGTATTAAACCACAGAATTAGGATGACTTTCAGAGTCAGCATTTACCCTGACAAAGTATCGCATGATCTTGTTCTGGAAGTCTCCAGGAGGTAGCAATATATACAGTAAGACCTCACACAGATCCCTTAGGAATCCTATGGAGAGAGAACAAAATGAAAAGAACCCTCAGCACAATTTTCTATTATTTTGTTTCTCATTTTACCTGATATCATAAAAACCAACAGATAAATCCTTAAAATAAAATTAAAACATAGAGTAATATATATTCTTACAGTTTTAAGCACCATAGTAACGGCTTTCAGAATGAATATAAGCAGCGCTGACACATAATCCAACTGAGTTAACTACAGTTCCAAAGCCAAAGTCCTAAGAAAGCCAAATTCAAAAAAATCAAAAAAGTAGCTCTAATTTATTTTCTTTAATATATAACGTTTTTCCTCCTACATACTTTCCTCAAACAGTGATTTCTTTTATTAAATGAAGACTATTCAGTAGTGGTAAGGATAATAGATCTAATAAAAAACAATTATCATCTGCAAAGCTGCTCCCTCTGTGCTAGAAAGCATTTCTAAATTTTTTTTTTTTCCCAATGAAAAGAGAAATAGAGATATACATACACTTTCATAATATTAATAAGTATAAATTAGAGGAAATATATATGTGTTGTAGATAATCATGCTTTGAAAGTCACAGGCTAAGGTTTCAGTATATATTTTAAAATCAATTGGTAGCATTTTAATTTAGTCTGCTAAACTACAATAGCTTCAGAAGAATATTGAGAGACCTTCTTCATCTTTGGGAGAAGTGCAGACTAGGTCACGACAGACTTCTTTTTCCATTTCAACTTCAACCTCAAAGAATGTATCTACAAGTTCCTCAGCTTGGTCTATACAAAAGAAAATAAAAGCAAATATACTTTTCTGTAAAGATCAGAAACTTGAGAGCAAATTTGAATTATAAAGTTAACTATATTTCACATGTAAAACACTTGCTAACTCAAGACTCAAAAAATGCTTCAGTTATTATATTACCTTTCATCTGATCACCTTTCTCTGCTATTCTTTGCTGAGCTTTTCTGAAAACTCGAAGATGAGTGCCGAAGTCATCAACAAGTTTTGTAGTGAAGTAAGGCTGCCAGTCTGTTTCCTTTGACCTATCAAAGTGACCCATGAAAATTAATTAGTTTATCCTGAATATAAAGAGCATTTATAAATTTCTACTTCTCATTCCTCCCTGCCAAGTCAGTGATAGCAGAGTGAAGAAATAAAAAAGCCTCCTCATCTCCTGTTCACTGAAACCAAAGAAAACGTTGTAAAATATTGTTCTTATATCTACAAATTACTATTTTTGCTTGAATTACTTTCAAGTGAACACCGATACCTAGAGTAGTGTTCTGATTCGCAATACCTTAAAATATCTGCTAAAAAACCCTAATGCAAACCATCTACAAGTATCTACAACTTAAAACTAAAATACTGCTCAGGGTTGATTTTTTTGTTTGTTTGTTTGTTTGTTTGTTTTCTCCCCTTTCCTTCTTTCTCACATTTGTCGCATCCATGAACCTCACATCCCTGAATCTCTTGGTAGGATGTAAGGGAGCCAACTCCCTTGCAATGTAAGGGCAGAGCAAGTCCAAGATCATCTCATGAGATCGAATGTGTACCGATCTATGGGTAGACAGATGACATGCATCCCAGGGACCTAAGGGAGCTGGCTGACAGGGTTGCCAAGCTGCTTGTCATCATGTGTGAAAAGCCAAGGCTGTCAGAAGACCCCAGGAAAATGGGAAACATCACATCAGAAGAAGGAGGACCTAGGAAACTACAGGCCAGTGAGCCACAAATCTGTGCCCAGGAAGGTCATGGAACAGATCCTCCCAGAAGACATGCTAAGGCACATGAAGATTGAGTGGGTGATCCAGCACAGCTTCACCAAGGGAAGTTCATATCTGACCAAAGCGGTGGCCTTCTATGATGGAGTAATAGCATTAGTGGACAAAGGGAAGGCAACTGATGTCACCTACCCTGACTACCTACCCTCCAGTGGAGGACTCACATGGTCCTCCACTACATTCTTATCTCTAAATTGGAGAGATATGGTCCTGAAGAGTGGGCTACTTGGTGAATAAGGAATTGGGTAGAAGGTCACAGCCAGAGGGCTACAGTCAATGGCTCCATAATCAGCCAGAGGCCAGTGAGAAACAGTGTCCCCCAGGAGTCTGTCTTGGGACTGGTGCTCTATAACATCTTCACCAATGACACAAATGATGGGATTGTGCGTACCCTCAAGTAAATCTGTTGATGACACCAAGCTAAGTGACACAGTTGATACAGCAAAAGAAAGGGATACCATCCAGAGGGACCTTGATAAACTCAAAAGATGGGCCCACATGAAGCTTCAACAAGGCAAAGTACAAGGTTTTGCACTTAAGTCAGGGTAATCCCAGATATGTATACAGACTCGGAGAAGAACTCCTTGAGAGTAGCCCTGCTGAGAACAACTTAGAGGTCCTGGCAGATAAAAAAACTTAGCACAAGCCAGCAGCATGCACTTGCAGCGCAGAAGGCCAATGGTATCCTGAGCTGCATCAGAAGAAGGGTGGCCAGCAGGGTAAGCAAGGTGATTGTCCCTCTCTACCCTACTCTTCTGAAGCCCAATCTGCAGTACTGCATTCAGGTCTGGGGCCCTCAAGATAGAAAAAATGTCAAACATTTGCAGAGTGTCCAGAGGAGAGTCATGAAGATGATCAGAGGGCTGGAGCACATCTCCTATGAAGACAGGATGAAGGAGCTGGAGTTATTCAGTCTGGAGAAGAAAAAGTGGCCGGAAAACCTCATTATAACCTTCCAATATTTAAAGGGAGGTTATAAACAGGAGAGAAGTCAACTTTTTACACGGGTAGGTAATGACAGGACAAGGGGAAATGGCTTTAAACTATAGGATGGAAGATTCAGATTAAATGTCAGGGAAGTTTTTCACTGACAAGGTGGTAAGGTGCTGGAGGGGTCTCAAAGGGAAGTTAATCAAAACCATTGATAATCCAGCTCCATCATCCGTACAATCAATTCATACAAAACCACTAGGTGGCAGCTTCGCAGCACTGTTTTGAAAGGGGGGGGCGCCCCGGCCCCAAGGTCTGCCGTACTCATTCTCTCCAGAAATTCATAGTGTATATGAAATTAAAGTTTATGGAACTAATCTAAGACTGCTATGGCTGTAACTGACTGCAGTTGTTATAAATACACTAGATCATTTTCTCCTGATAATAATAAATTGCTGCAGCCCTAGGAAAACGATCGGAAATGTACAGGAAAAAGAAAATTGTACAGGAGTAAATGCTATTTTTGAAGAAATGCAATAGTATAGGAGGAAAAATCAAGGTAGTTACAAGCTGACATGCTTTGACACAAAGTCAAAGCTCAATATCGCCCAATGAAGTAACTTCATCCAATAGACAAAATCACTGAAGTTGAGTAGTCAAATCCACTTCATATGTAAGAACAGGATTGTTTCCCATAAGGTACTGCTTATTTAGCCTAGTTTTCACTATTTTCAAACCTGTTTCCTACGGTTTCCATTATTTCATGATCAATGTGATTTTATTATCATGAACTTTTCCCAGTATTAAACCTAGCTCTCCATCTTGCCAGAATAGTGCTCTGACCTGCATTTTCAATAGAGGTCAACAAAGCCTTAAAAATTGCTGAGAATTTTCTTATACTTAGGTAACTAACCCACAACCTCTTACTAAAGAGAAAACAGATAATTACTGCAGTGAGAGAAATGCTTGAAATCATTACTTAATAAAGTAGTATTGAAGTTTACACAGACATAAATAAAGGTGGCTTCAGCCATACTAAAGATAAACAATTTCCTACTCGTTCACTCCCTGATTTTCTGCTTCTTGATTACAAACAGAAAAACAAGGGACAACTAATAAACCATCAGTTTTCATAAACTAAGTAATAAGCAAGCATCTTTAAGACAAAATTACATCTGTAAAAAGAAATGATACATCACGTTACAACCCTTTTGAAATTACTCATTGTTTATACATACTGAACAGAAAGATCCAATTTTAAAACTTATCTAAGCTGATACAAGTATTTTAAATTAAGGTTTTCAGACAGACTCATCTTGGGAACAGCCCTGCTGTTTATGCGAACCTGACTTGCATGCAAGAAAATGAGGATTCATACTGCTCAGAGTCTAAGTTACAGAAAAATAGCTGTTCAGTAATTTTAGGCATTAATCAAAATCTGGAAAAGACTGTGGCAACAAGCATCACTTCCTCTCATTGCTTACGGGATCAGCAAGGCTGTACTTCTTTTAGATTATGATCTTAAAATATGTTAATGTTCTTTCTGTATAATATAGTGAACTCTGCCAACAGATAAACTAAAAATAATTTATTAAATTGTTAAAATAATTTGTTAAAAATAATTTCACACAGATATTTGTACAATTGCTTGATAAAATAATCTTACCTGGCAGAAAACTGAACAAGTGCGTACTGAAGAGCTTGCCTGATTTCCAGGAGAAACGATTCATCATCACTTAGTGTGTAATACCAGTACTGCACATAGTCTCTCAGGGAAAACTGGATCACCTGAAATTGGAAAGGAAAAAAGAAAAATGAAATAATGAACAAAACAGGGCAAAAAATATGTGCCTGATAAGGCAATATCAATCTGCTTAAAAGGCTCATTAATTAACTTATCTACCATTATAAAACCGTGAGTGAAAAAATAAATGCTGAAAACTCTCTTGTTGATTCACATACATTCCCACTGCTATGCTGAAAAATTGCAATATATAAAAAACAGTCAAAATATTGCCCGATATCCTGGCCCATCCCTGATTTTTTTTTCCGCTTGCCAGTCTCAACTTCTATTTGCCTCACAAATATTTCAATATTACAGACTCAATACTTGGAAAAACAAATTAAATAGTACTGGTTAGAACTTACCTGTTGCAAAGGCTCATCAATTATATTTGCACCTGTCAATCTTCTGTCAATCTTAATAGGTCTGGCTTCACGTTTCATTTCTTCTATGCACTTGAAAGAGATCAGAAAATTTAATTTTGTAGTTTCCAGTAGAGCTGGTTTTTAACTATAGCTGTTTGTGATATTTGTACATTTTTTCCAGTAGCAACTTTATGCATTTTTTTTCTTACATTTATGTCTTATGTACTATATAGAATAATATGGGTATATAGTAAATAACAGTGAAAAATTGACCTACATTAATTCTTGTTTACTGTAAAAAAGCAAGTTCATTAAATAACAGATAAGAAGGAAATAAAACTCAAACAGCAGTGAAAGGGTGGGAGAGAACAGCAGCACAAGATAGTTTGTGGGTAAGACTCCATTTCCATACTTGAAATATACAAAACTTTCCTATAGCCTCATGCAGGTGATAGTTTAGGTTCCCCTATACACTTCCTTTATCTTTCTCTGATTATTATGTGCTGATAGAGAAATTACTCTTTTGTACCATCACTACTCGACAGACAGCCCTTTAAAAAGTAACTGATGAGGCTGGTCAGTTGAGAAAAATGGCATATATGCATTAAAAATCCACCCTCACACCAGAAGTACAAAAACTGCAAGGATTACACACAAAAAAATTACATCATTTATAAAACAACTAGAGCATACATACATATAGAGATCAAAGAAGGAACATTAAAACGTTTCATACACATAAGTTTAAAAAGACAGAACACTTTTTCTAAGTCTGCTCTTCAAATAAATAAACAAATGAGATATAAGCAAAACTTCATAATTAACATAACCATTGAAAGCTATATAGCACCAAGAACTTTAGTCCTCTAAAATGAATTTCTTTAAATAGAACAGAAAGTAGAAACATTAATTTGCCTACTCCTTTTCAAAAAGTGGCAATAAAGCCTTAAACTTTTCATTTAGACCAATGAATTTACACTCAGGTTAGAATATACTTGAGTTTTTTGTTTCTAAGATACATCTGAGACTTAAGAGAAAAGTTAACTTTCCAACTGAGCTATGAATGATTCACAAAAAAACTGCAATTAGAAAACATACTGCTGAATCTCAATGCACATTTCTTTAAATGTGCAACTGATAATAAAGTTGAAACCCCCTCATCACAAACATCATAATGATTGACTATCTAATGGCTGAAGGATGTCTCAGGTGAAACGTATGGAAGATTAATCATCATAACATAACTAGCAATCTTCAGGTTCATGCATTTTTTCTATTCTGAGGAGTTCAAACCAATTAGGGCAAGATATACCTGTCAAGACACATAGATTCATAAACTAGGAATTTACAGTAATTCCATATCTTAGTTAGCTATTACGAACCTGTTCTAAACAGACGCATATTTATGCAATTAGGAAGCCTGAATTTAGAACTTCTAACCAAGATGATCTGCCTGTTAAAATTTCAAAAACAAAGTTGGAAAGGGGATCACGTTGCTCCTCCACATTCATATACGCATTTCCATTATTTTTCTTTGGCCCTAAAGTTAGTCAAAAGATAAGTCATTTGACATTATGAAGCTAGGAACAATACTTGAAAGAAACTTCCCATAACTGCTGTATTTGTTTGTATTTCTAGAAGGAAAAATCTTGCATTGTACTTTCATAAATACTTTTGCAGTTGACCGAAAACAAAAAGGCAGGATCATTTATTCTTGGAAAATTGGTACATTTATAATTTTTAGACTAAAATTAAGTAACTTAGAACTCAGTTTTAGAGCTATAAAATCTGATCTACAAATTAAGGACAGTAAAGTCTCCTTACCTTAGGGATACCAACTGATGTACAAGGAAGAAATGAATGTTCACACTGCTCAAGGTACTTTTCTGAGTTGCTTTTTCCAAATAAAAGAGTAACCACAAAACCCCTAAAATTGAAAAAGAAACACCAAATAGAACAACAGTCTTTTTTCTCTCCCCACTAGAAAACATCACACAGCAAGTTATGAAATACCAGTATATAGTGACTTTCACCTGTTATCATTGGGCAAGGTTCTTCCAATGCATCTTGTTACACAAAATAACCAACACAATACTAAACAAAAAGTTTCTCAGTCTTATCATAAAAGCACAGAATGGCTTAGGTTGGAAAGGCCCTCAAAGATCATTTAGTTCCAAACCCCAGCCATGGGCAAGTTTGCCACCCACTAGATCAGGCTGCCCAGCTCCCCATCAAACCTGGCCTTGAACTCTTCCAGGGATGGGGCATCTACAGCTTCTCTGGGCAACCTGTTCCAGAACCTTACACAATCTTATCTTTTCACCCTCACAACTTCACAATAATATTTAAATCATGACTTAAGCAGGACAACAGCTATTTTTATTATTTTTTGTTTGTTTGTTTGTGATATAATGAATGCACAAGAGAAAATAACTATTACAATAAATTCAATTTTCCTGCAACAGGAATAATTTACAGCTTATGACACCAGGGTGCAAAAACATAAAGCCTGTTTTAATAAGGAACAGTTGAAAACATAAAGACTGTGCCAATTATAGCACAACTGAAGTAAGCAGCCTTTGAAAAGTTAAGCATAAAGAAGACTGAGAAGTTACTGCTGCTCAAGACTAGCCTTGGGATGGCTGAACACACATAGCTTTTTAACTATTCAATTTAAAGGCCAGCAGATGAACACTTGTGACCGTATGATCTCACAAAGCTGTCCCAGCCTAGAAATGTCCTGAAATAACATTATTTTAGCATAGATTTTTCCTGTTATACAGCATTCTTCGTGTATGATTAGAATATAATTTCTAACCAACATATCTAAAGCAGACAAAAATAAAACATTTAAAGGTTTTAACCCATAAACTGGGAACCATTCTTCATAAGCTCTTTAGTGGTTAGTACTTCAGAAGTAGGGAGTTGTAATTTATACTCTAATATGTTAAGGCCAAAAAAAAAAGCTACACAAAATTATTATGGGTAACTTCATAAAGAAGAATATTCCGCTTGACACTCTGATTTCCTTATGGCCTAGAGCACCCTCTTTATCTGCCAATCACAAACACTCTTTACATATGAATGAAGGACAATAAATAAAAAAAAATTACAAGTTCTAATTGCTTTTCTGCTCTAGATGCTCCCAGATAGCTTTGAAATCATAACACCGACAGCACTATTATCATTTCAATTCAGTTCAAGGACAAAAACTTGCTTAGAAACCTTCCTAGTATTTGTTTCATTATGCTAAAAATGGTAATTTTTTTTTCACTCATCACTTAGACATACTTCATTTGTTACCTATCAATTTTCTACTAGAAATCTCCATCTACTTTTAAAGAAAAAAAGTACTTTCAAAATGCCTTTTTTTCTTTTTTTTTTCCCCTAAGAAATAGTTCTAACTTCAAACAAATATCAGCAACTTGGAGGAGAAAGAAGGGGTGAGATAATTCTGTTAATTCAAAAGGATTGAAGCCTATAAAGTAACAAGCTATACATTATGAATCTTTTTTCTCTCAAACATTTTGACATGTTTCAAGTGTCAAAAATTACACTCATTCAGAAATACTCATATGCTACCAATGTAGTTGAAATGTATGTCCATCATCCTATATACATTTCCATTTTTAAGCTAGATAAGCTAAGAACTTCTGCCTCCAGAGCAGAAATTAATACATTTTCTTCTTCAGCTTAAAAATCTTGAGTATATTAGAGAAGTATACATAGCCTCACTATTTGTTATAGCTGTTAGCTAATCAGAAGCTTCCAGTGCAAATGCTAATCCAATTAATCAAGAGGATATAAAATTCAGTAAATGCAAAATCATTTTAGTCTTCTAGAAATTATTGGAATGAGACCATAGTTCCCAGTTGGAAGTTCTTCCAAAGATATTGTAAGATCAGCTTCTCACAAGGACAGATTAACACTAGAACAATGGTGAAAGACAGAAAAACGAAGGCAACAGATTTATCATTTTCCCATCAAGTGTGAAAAGTAACAACCTCAGCGGAATGCTCTCTGGAAGTCAAAATGCAGCTTCACCATCATTCTCAATCTGGCCAGGAATTGAACTAACAGGTGTAGGCAGGCAACACATACACATGCATATGATTAAGCATCGATAATAACGCTTTTTTAACAGAGCAAATTGCTTTATATGTCAGTGATTTCGGGTCTAAGAAATTTTAGTTCTGGCAACATCAGCTACTGGCAGAACCACAAATAACGTTGTTCTTATTTCACTGCTTTGAGATTCAATGACAGAAGGAGAAAGAGTAAGGTAAAGAAACACACATGATACAAAGAGAGGACAGGTAAAAGACAGGCTGAGGACTAAGGTGAATGGAATTGCAACAATACTTGAAACAGAGGCAAAAAAAAAAAAATGTTGTAAAGCTCAACGCCTTGTAATCATCTTGGCTGCAAAGGTTAAAGAAACAATCTCTCCTCTTGTTTGGTGGAAAGAGCTAAGTGAATTTCCTAAGTGATCAGTTTTCAAATCCCAAATTGAAGGAAAAGGTATTAGAAAACATGCAAAGAACAAAACCTAATATTTTGGAAATGAGTCCTGATTAAAAAAAAAAGAATAAAATTAAACAAAGACAATTTTTGGTTTAAATCTTTTATTCATATGCAGAAACACATTCATGCAAATAACAATAACACACTACAAGCTAGCTGTGCTTGTAGGAAGAAATGCATATTTAAGAATATATAAAAAATAGCTAAATACCACAAAACTGAAGTAAAATGGTAGAAAAACATTATGTTGATACAGCTATAGCATCAGCATTTTTCTTCACAACTCACTGGCATACACTACAAAAATTCAAGTTGATATTCAGGATGCAGTCAACTATAATTCAACATTTTCTCCTGTTTGAACTGCAAAATGGGACAGAAGCAGACTGCCAGCTAGTTGAAATCCCAAACCACTGATATAAACCACCATTTATGAACAAGTGCAATAAAGCTAAAAAACTGCATGCCAAATTGTTTAACAATTCAAAATTTTAGCATAACAAAACAGATTCAGATTTGTTACTCTGCTCCAAATAAGGGCAACGTAATTGTTAAAAAAGCTTTTACAAATGAATCAAAATTAAATTATTATTTTCAGAACTTATGAAACTGATGTTATATTATTTCTAATCAAGGTAAGAAAAACAGGAGCAAGCATTTTTCATAGCCTCATAGGAATTAATTCAAAAAGGAAAAGCATGCGGGAAAATTTTGGAAATAAAGCCGTTTGAACAACTCAGAACTAGTGTATGCAGTATGCTGGCTTTACCTTAAGTATTACACATCTGATAAGATTAACAGAGTAATAAAGGGCCAGATCAGAGACTTAGCCAAGAAGATGTGTATATTAAACTAATGATTGTATTGGAACAACTAAGACCTCATATCTATTCAAATAAGTAAACACATAATAGGAAAATGGATACAGATTCTGCTTCAACTGAACTTAACATTGCCAGAAGATGATTTTAGATCTGGGATGGTAAATGTTCATTGACTAGCTACAACAGTAAATTAAAGTACACTGATGTTCTACAGTCAGCAAAATATGCCAATCGTATATGTATCAAAATTCAATAAGACAGTGTATGGGAACTGCAGAGTCACGGCCTGAACCTCTGATTGATCACCTGAGGTGAGCCATGAGCCAGCCATGAGAGCACAGGTGAAGGCAATTCACTGTGCTGCTGGGAGGGGTAGAGCCTGGCTGTACCTCTCCCAGAGCCATTTAAGAGCTGGCTACCAGTGGGGAAGGATCTCTTTTAGAGATCTGCTCTGCTGGCATTTTGTAAGTGAGCCCAGGATATGGGTAAGCTTTCTATCTATTCTCTTTTTGTTACCATTATCTGCTTTGTCAAATTCTCTTTGTTTATTTTGTAATTATAACATCTTAATGTTCATTGAATATACAGACAAGCTAATTTTTGAGTAAATGCCTTTAACTAACTCATCAATCTAGTAAACTGATAACTCTGAATTCTCATGGATAGGATTTTATGTTTTACGTTGTTTAAACCCAAATAGCATCTCCAGTTCTAGTAACTTAACTCTATTGTACTTTTCAGTAGGACATACATACTTTACTATACCCAATAAGAAAGTCAGAACAGTATTTCAGAGAGGAAAAAAAATCAGACAAAAATCCTCACTAGAAATCAAGCAGGTGTGGGAGAACCAAGAAATGTTACTATTTTGCAGAACATTTGGATGATTAAGAGGAAGGAAGATTATCCTACCAATGCTTCTGGCCTGGCATCAAAAAATAAAGATTATAAGGCAGACATTACAATGTACAGTGTAATAATTTTTACTTCTATTAGCATTGTATTACATCCTTCCTGTCTACAAAATTAAATATCTACAGATTCTGAACTGATGTGCTTGTTCAAGGTGTACCAAGACAACATTTCCATACATACAGAAAAACACCAGTTTGTTTCCCTCATGAGTGAAGCATCTTACATAGGAAAATGAGCTAGCAAGAAGGAAGGAAGATGTAATTTCTTAATAAGTACCTGGGATAAGAACCAACACAGTAATAGAAAGTAATGAACTGAAGATAACATTGGTGTAATGTGAACATTTGTCTACTAGTAGCTATTAAAAATACTTAGATCTGTTTACTAAAAATCAGTCATCTTTTTCCTCTTTGCAAAGATAGTATAAACACCATTTAAATATATATATACGTAAATCCTAATTTTAATAAACTTGAGATCTCAAGAAAAAATAACTTGGTCATATTGAAGTTGCTTAAACACACACAATTACACAGAAGTCATTTCAGATTTTCAGAGCAAATTGCTGACAGGCATGTTAAAATTCTACCTCCACTATATACAAACAGTATGTAGCATACTTACCCACCCACAAAGCAGAGGATATAAAACGCAAAGTAAAATATAGCAAAGGGTCCAAAGGTTATTAGGAAAAGCACAACACCAAGACTTCCCCATCCCCATATGGAAAGACTGGTCTGCAAACAAGAACACATAGGAAAAGAGTCATTAATACATGTACAGCTTGAAAACCTCCAAAGCAATATTTATAATTACTCAGAATCTTGATAAATTTTAACTAGGCAGGAAATTGATGTGTTCTTGATGAAATAGAAACTTTTTACAATAAAAAAAAGCATTTTGCTATCAATTTACACTGTGAGCTAGCAGTTCACCTTAGCCAATGTTAGAGCATTTTTCTTTTAACTACTGTTTCCCATTTCTCAATACAGATGCAACTATCACCTTTATCACCTAGACCCATTTAAGAGCTGACTGCCAGTGGGAAAAGATCTCTTCTGGAGATCCCTCCGTTGGAGTTTTACAATGAGCCTAGGACACAGGTAAGCATTCTGTCTATTCTCTTTTGGCGTAATAATTACTTACCAAAACTTTCTGGTACACTTCATAATTATAACATCTGTAAGTTCATTGATTATACAGATAGGAAGGAAGAAAAATGCTGTTTTGAAAGTACTTCGTATGGCTGAAGTCAACTGTGAGAGCAGCTGTGGGTTTGGTGGATTTTAGGACTGGTGTGTCACATAACTCACCCATAAAACAGCCTGAAGGGAATGCAGGTTACTGTGCTGTTATACATTGCAATGCAAGAATCTTAACACAGAAATATGTACACACATGCATAGGTGTTTGTGTGTGTATGCATGCATGCGTAACAAAAAAGCAATACAGTGACAACCTGACTGCACTGTCACAGTTTTGGACTTTCACAATGCTGCAATGCAGCCAACAAAGATTATGTAATGTTAATTCATTCTATTCCATAGTTCAATAAGGAAAGTGCATTTCAGCCAAATCCCAAAAGTGTGAAACTGAAGCTGATGAGAATTTTTAGGCCACGAAAACTGTTCCAGCTCTAAGGTTCTCAACTTTTCTATTTTTTTGTCTAATTTACACCTTTCCTACCACTGATCAAATGACACCCTGAAAGAAACACAGACAACTCAATGTTAACAAGTAACACTAAGAAAGTATTTAAATAAACTTGTCTTGCAGTTTGACATTCAGAAAACAAGCAAAGATCTAGCACCATACTTGAAGGGAGTTCTTTTTCAGTTTTTAATGCGAGGGATGAGGGGCACCTGCCTACGTTTCTTATTTCTCTGAAGGGAAATTTCAGCTCTTTCTCTGAGGCACAGAAGTCAGAAAAAACTACATAATGACAAAAAAAAAAGGTTTAAGAATCCTATGAACAATGAAAAGTAATTTAATTCAGCTACATACAATAGGAAAGTGGCAGGTGCTCTCATAGTCTACATTCAAACACACAAAGATGAGTCCTCAAATTCATGCCCTCAGAAATGTACACATTTTGAAACCTCTACAGAGTATTAAACAACAACAACACGTGCACACAGAACATAACTTTTAATCATGATCTTATCATACCAAAATATCAGTACATTTAATAGCACAATTTGAAAAAAAGTTGAAGTTCTGAATATGGGGTAAGGACTCTAAATGACTTAACAAAACTTAATTAACAAGATAGCGGGATGCATATTCAGAGATGGGTGAATGCATAATTAACAAAGAAAGTTCCATAACAGATAGAACAGTGACCTTTTGTCCTACACTCTAGCTCTGCAATTTAGCATATGGCTACAGAGATTCAAATCTCATTTGGTATTTTAATAGGATTTCTTAAAACTCAGACAACTCAGCACACTGCAGTAAGTACAACAGATACTGGCCCAATTCTTACACACTTTTGGTTTATAATCTAAGGATTTTGAGAGAGAAACTCAAAAGGATGGAATGATCAGAACAGTTCAATTCAGGCTGACTGTAAATAAGGCTTCCTGCAACTTCATGCTTCTTAAAATTTCCAGCAGTACAATTCCTGGGCAAAATTGAAAACTAAGTCCCCTTTGCCATATCAGAAAAAAAGTCCAACTATTACTTAAATATTTCTGTGCAGCTACTACCAATTAGTACTTTCTAAGAAGGAATATGGAACTAGTAGGAGTATTTAAAAAAAAAAAAAATCAAACCCCACCACTTCAAACTTCTTTACAAATAAGCTGTATTTTAAAGACTAACAAATTTACTGACATTTTGTCTAGTCTTACTGAATTTAATTGTAGGGAGAATATTTCTCACTCCTAGGAGAAAGTGTAAGCCTGTAGAGATGGCATAACAGCATTTAAGTAGCAGCTGCCCAAACCTTTTAAAAGACAAACTTCTAAACTGAACTGTCAAAGTATTGGTTACTGAATTTCAAGCAACTATGGTCAGTGACTCAGCACTATAGAACTAATACAGGCCTTAATCCTGTAGGATGCACACATGTATACAATGCACACACAGATGAAGGCTCTGCATTCCAGACAAGCAGTGGTTCCACCTTATTAGTTTTACCCACATTTGCTTACTTTCGCTTCAGATGCCATATGTTTACCTTGCCATCACTACATCTCATTTTTGAAGCCTCAAGACCTACAAATACACTGCAGAAGTCTTTCTTTGTAAGGCCATACACATGAAGGGCTAAGGCAGCACCACATAAGATTCAGTAGCCTTTTTTCCATGATATAGAATTGATTTAGGAACGTATTAATTGCAGAATAGGGCTGTCTGTAAATTGAAACAGCACAGTGAAAAACCTCATCAATCACTAGGGGTGATTAGATGCTGGTGACAGAATTAATGAGATATCACCTCTCAATGATATCTACTTTTTTTAGTAGGTGTATGGGAACTGGTGGGTCATGGCCTGAACCACTGATTGATCACCTGAGGCAAGAACTGAGCCAGCCATGGAAGCACAGGTGAAGGCAATTCAGCTGTGCAACTGGAAGGGGTGGAGCCTGGCTGCACCTCTCCTAGACCCGTTTAAGGGTTGACTGCCACTAGGAAGGATCTCTTTCTGGACATTGTTCCTTTTGGAGTTTTCTACTGCAAGCCTAGGACAGGTGAGCATTTCATTTTTGACTGTCTCTTTCCACCATGATAATCATTCTAACTATAAACCTGTAAAATGCCATCCTAACTGCGCCACTCTAACTGCACTTTTGTTAATTGTACAGTAGGCTGTTTCATGTTTCCCACTGTAGGTTGTTTTTCCTCTTCACAACACACAGACACTAAAAGAAACACATTAAAAATCTGCTTTCTTACATTCTTCTGCTCTGCTTTTCTTTGGCTTTTGCTATCTACTAATTAACACCACATTCTGATGGTTCCTGTTGCAAATTGCTGTTGGCTGACACAGCAGAGCTGACTGATTCATCACCATTCACACAAGATCCCAAGTAAATCCACAGAATTCACTACCTTGAAGCTGCGTGCAGTTGATTGCCTAGACAGACATGTGGTATTATAGCTTACTGCTCATGAATTAACAAGATTATTTTGCAGGCAAGTCAGCAGGAGTGTGGCAAGGATTTAATGTAGCAGCTGTAACAGCAATGAGCCACTCCCACAACTAACTGCCTTTCTGAAGTAGTTTCAGTAGGCTTCTCCTTCACATAATCCAGCAGACAAGCTGTCAGAGCTTTGTCTCTAACCCATCTTTAAGCAAAACCTTCAGCCCTAATACTGCTTTCACTGCAAACATGCAGTGAGGAAAGTACAGCTGTGCTATGCTTGGACTCAAAACTGGTGTTGCCAATTCTTGTTTGAAACAGCAACTGACAGGTAGTGAAGTGTTTCTCCTTTCATGCAAGAACAGCCCCAGGTGTTCCCCTAACAGCTGCTCTTTTCTCCCAGCTCTCTTCTTGCCCCAAGCAGCTACACTCCTATCCCCACAGGTCCAGGCACCCCTGCCCTCTCACTCCTGCTGGAACCCAAGCACCTCATTCTTTATGCTTGGCCTTGCAGACCCAGAATAACTGTAATTGTGCTGTGAAGTCTGGGGACAGGGCAGAGGGAAAGAAAGAATAGCAAGATAGAAAGGGTGGACTCAGAAATAATCTATTTCTGCATCTTAAGCTTCAGCAGAGAACTCTGAAGTCTTACAGCTGCAGTGTTCAAAGAGCTGCTTTGGATGCTGTCCCACTGCTGCTGACCACCCTTTGTGACTGCTTTCACACTGAAGTTTTGCCACATAATATTGTGGACTATAAAGAAAATCACACTTCCTCACTCATGGTTCTTTTACTGTGTATATCCAACTGCATTTGTCTGGTAGCAATGTTTAAATGGCAGCAGCTGTTATGTCCCTAGCCAGACATTGATAAGCAAACTAGTCTTTGCTCTTTGGGCACTTTTAACATTTATTTTTTTTCCTCTTCATTTTCTTAATATGATGTTTGGCTAAATGTATTCAATGTCATCTGTGGGCTCACATTAAAAATTTGCTGAGAGTAGATGTCAAGTTTAATTTTCTGTTAATTCTACACATCTGCGCTTTCACTTCAATTTTAAGTGTAAATGGAATGTGTTCACGTACAGACCTTTCTATAATTAAGGCAAGTGTCACTTTTCTCAAGTGATTAAAAACATTATTTTAGCATTCAAATTACTGTGCCCTCACTAGCATGACAAGTAGGATGGGAAAGCAGTATCAACTGGAGTACCAATCTCATATTTAAAAAGTACAAATTAAACCACTGATATCATGGTAGTTACAGTCTTACTACATGCTAAATCTAAACAATCCAAGTGAAAGTCAGGGTACAGGGAGTTATGAAAAAACTTCTCATATCACTTAATGTCTTCTAACTCCTTCCACCTTATCTTTTTGCCCTTTGCCCACCTCAGCCCAATAGATAAAGGGGTAGATAAAGCAATACTCAACAATCCATTCCTCTCTCAGACTATGTTAAAAAAAAAAAAAAAAAAAAAAAAACTCTTTTGCCTGCTGTAGTACTTACAAGAAAACTCTTGGAAAAGGCTTAAAGAGAAGGACTTTAATGTAGTCTGTTTTGCTTTTAATTGTTCTAAGTTCAATAAGTTTGTTTTTCTTTCCCAAAATAAGCCTAAAATATTAGAGGACATAAACAAATCACCTTGT